TTTTTCTAACTTTTTTTTTTTTCTGAGATAGTGTCTCACTCTGTTGCTCAGGCTGGAGTGTAGTAACATGATCACAGCTCACTGCAGCCTTGACTTCCCATGCTTAAGCCGTCCTCCCACCTCAGCCTACTGGGACTACAGACGTGAGCCACCATTCCTGGCTATTTTTAAATTTTTTTGTAGAGAAGAAGTCTCCCTATGTTACCCAGGCTAGTCTTGAACCAAATACTAGATCTTACTCATTCTATGTGACTATATTTTTGTACCCACCCACCACCACTATCGTTCTCAGCCTCAGGTAACCATCATTCTGCTCTGTCTCCATGAGTTCAATTGTTTTAATTTTTAGCTGCCACAAAAGGAACATGAGAGGTTTGTCTTTCTGCATCTGGCTTATTTCACTTAACACAATGTCCTCCATTTTCATCTATGTTGTTGCAAATGACAGGGTCTCATTCTTTTTTCTGGCTGAGTAGTACTCCCATCATGTTGATAGACACTTAGGTTTCTTCCAAATGGCTGTTATGAATAGTGCTGCAGTAAACGGGAGTGCACATATCTCTTCAATATACTGATTTCCTTTCTTTTGGGTGTATATCTAGCAGTGGGATTTCTGGATCATATGGTAGTTGTATTTTTAGTTTTCTGAGAAATCTCTGTACTTGTTCTCCATAGTGACTGTACTAATGTACATTCCCAGCAATAGCATATGAAGATTTCCTTTTCTGTACATCCTTTCCAGCATTTCTTTTTGCCTTTCTTTTGGATAAAAGCCATTTTATCCAAAAACTGGAATGAGATGATATCTTGATGTAGTTTGGATTTGCAGTTCCCTGATGATCCGTGATGTTGAACACCCTTTCATATATCTGTTTGCCATTTGTTTGTCTCCTTTTTAAAAAGTGTGTATTCAGGGCTCAAGCCTGTAATCCCAGCACTTTGGGAAGCCAAAATGAGTGATCATTTGACGTCAGGAGTTTGAGACCAGCCTGGCCAACATGGTGAAACACTGTCTCTACTAAAAATACAAAAATTAGCTGGGCATGGTGACACATGCCTGCAATTCCAGCTACTTAGGAGGCAGAGGCAGAAGAATCACTTGAACCTGGGAGGTGGAGGTTGCAGTGAACCGAGATTGCACCACTGCACCTGGGTGACAGAGTGAGATCCGTTTCAAAAAAAAAAATACTATTCAGATCTTTTTCCCATTATTTAATCAGATTATTAGATTTTTTTCCTATTTCTCCCATTTTGTGGGTTGTCTCTTTACTTTTTTGATTGTAGTGTTGACCTAACTTGATGTGATCCCACTTACCTATTTTTGCTTTGGTTACCTGTGATTATAGGGTATTACTCAAGAATTACTTGCCTGGACCAATGTCGTGGAGAGTTTCCACAGTTTTTTCTTTTAGTAATTACATAGTTTGAGGTTTTAGATTTAAGTCTTTAATTCATTTTGATTTGATTTTTGCATATGGTGAGAGATAGGGGTCTAGTTTCATTCTTCTGCATGTGGAATATCCAGTTTTCCCAGCACTATTTATTGACAGTCTTATTTATTGAAGACTGTCTTTCTCAATGTATGTTCTTGGCATTTTTGTAAAAAACGAGTTCACTCTAGATGTATGGATTTATTTCTGGGTCTCTCTTCTGTTCTGTCAGTTTGTGTGTCTGTTTTATGCCAGCCCCATCTTGCTTTGATCGCTATAGCTCCATAGTATAATTTGCAGCCACAGAATGTGATTCTTCCAGTTTTGTTGTTTTTGTTCAGGCTAGCTTTGGCTATTCTGGGTCTTTTGTGGTTCCATATAAATTTTACAATAATTTTTTTCTATTTCTGTGAAGAATATTATTGGTATTTATTGTAATTTCAGGGATTACACTGAATCTGTAGATTGCTTTTTATAGTATGGACATTTTAACAATATTCTTCCAGTCCATGAACATGGAATATCTTTGTATCTTTGTGTGTGTGTGTGTGTGTGTGTCTTCTTCAATTTCTTGTATCAGTGTTTTATGATTTTCATTCTAAAGAAAGAGATCTTTCACCTTTTTTTTTTTTTTTTTTTGAGATGGAGTATCACTCTTGTTGCCCAGGCGGGAATGCAATGACACCATCTTGGCTCACCACAACTTCTGCCTCCCGGGTTCAAGTGATTCTCCTGCCTCAACCTCCTGAGTAGCTGGGATTTCAGGCATGTGCCACCACACCCAGCTAATTTTTTATTTTTGGTAGAAATGGGGTTTCTTCCATATTGTTCAGGCTGGTTTCGAAATCCCAACGTCAGGTGAACCGCCCACCTCGGCCTCCCAAAGTGCTGGGATTAGAGGTGTGAGCCACTGTGTCTGGCCAAGGTCTTTCACTTCTTTTGTGATATTTATTTGTAGATATTTAATTTTATTTGCAGATATTTAATTTTATTTGCAGTTATTTTAAATGGAATTACTTTCTTGATTACTTTTTCAGATTATTTGCCGTGGCATATGGAAATGCTACTGATTTTTGTATGTTGATTTCATATCCTTCAACTTTAGTAAATTAGTTTACCTGTTCTAATCTTTTTTTTGTGTGTGTGTGTGTGGAGTCTGTAGGTTCTTCCAAATATAAGATTATATCATCTGCAAACAAGGATAATTTGACATCTTCTTTTCTAATTTGGATGCCCTTTATTTCTCTTGTCTCATTGCACTAGCTTCAACTTCCAGTACTGTGTTGAATAATAGTGGTGAAAGTGGGCATCCTTGTCTTGTTCCAGATCTTAGAGAAAGGCTTTCCGTTTTCTCCCATTCAGTGTGATACTAGGTGTGGGTCTCTCTTATATGGCTTTTATTGTGTTGAGTTACGTTTCTTCTATCCCCAGTTGTTTTAGGGTTTTTGTCATGAAGGGATGTTAAATTTTACCAAATGCTTTTTTAAGCATCAATTGAAATGATCATATGGTTTTTGTCCTTTATTCTGTTGTATCAATATGATGTATCATGCTGATTGATTTGCATGTGTTGAACCATCCTTCCATCCCTGGAACAAATCCCAGTTGATAATGATGAATGATCTTTTTAATGTATTGTTGAATTCAGTTTGCTAGTTAGTGTTTTGTTGAGGATTTTGCATCAGTGTTCATCAGAGATATTGACCTGTAGTTTTCTTTTTTTGACTTATCTGTCTGGTTTTAATATTAGGGTAGTACTGATGTCTTAGAATGAGTTTAGAAGTGTTCCCTCCTCCATGTTTGTATTTTGGAATAGTTTGAGTAGGATTGGTATTAGTTTTTCTTTAAATGGTACTGAAGCCATTGGGTCCCAGGCTTTTCTTTGCTGAGAGATTTTCTTTATTATGGCTTTGATCTCATTACTTGTTAGTCTAGTCAGGCTTTGGATTTCTTCATGGTTCAATCTTGATAGGTTGTATATGTCTAGAGTTTATCTGTTTTTTTTTTTCTAGGCTTTCCGATTTGTTGGCATTTAGTTGCTCACAGTAGCCTCTAATGATACTTTGAATTTCTGCAGTATGCTCCAACCTCTGCCTCCTGGGTTCAAGCGATTCTCCTGCCTCAGCCTCCCAAGTTGCTGGGACTAAGGCACACACCACTGCACCTAGCTAATTTTTGTATTTTTAGTAGAGGTGGGGTTTCACTATGTTGGCTAGGCTTGTCTTAAACTCCTGACCTCAAGTGGTCTGCCTACCTTGGCCTCCCAAAGTGTTGAGATTACAGGCGTGTTGGGATTACAGGCATGTGCCACCACACCTGGCTTGAATGACTTTTTCATGGAGGAATGCCATTGTCCAGGCAGATGTGCCACCTCATTGATTGCCAGGGATGACTCAGTTGTCTGGCTAGTTGGGTAAGGGAGGTGTTTCTTCCTTCCCTTCTCTGTGTGTATGTTACTAAAACTGTTCATTTACATTTCATAGCAGCTCAGGTGGGACTGTTTTTCAGTACTTTTGTAGCTTTTCCTTTCTGTGACTCCTTTGAGGAGGCTTTGTCTTGTGAAAGGAAAAATTTGATGAAATGATTACATGGAGACTTCTGACTAATCATACTGTGGCAATGGAACTACTTTCACTTCCTCTTTTAAAGAAACAGGTAACAGAAAGCCTGCTCTTGGCCATATCCATTAGTCACATAGCAATGACAATTTAAAATTTGGTCAGTAGCCAGGTGTGGTGGTGCATGTCTGTAGTCCAAGCTACTCAGGAGGCTGAGGCAGGAGAATCACTTGAACCCAGGAGGCGGAGCCTGGGCAACAAGAACAAAACTCCTTCTAAAAAAAAAATAGTTAAAAAAAAACGTGGTCAGCAATAGATTCTGTGTGCTATATTTTGGATATACAATGTTAAGAACAAAATGACCAGGTGTGGTGGCTCATGCCTGTAATTCCAGCACTTTGGGAGGCCCAGATGGGAGGATTGCTTGAGCCCAGGAGGTCATGGCTGTAGTGAGCATCTGTATAATTTGGTGTCTGTGAACCTCATGTAGTATTTTTATACAAATATAAATGAAAGTTATATGTTACCCCCCACCAAAAAAAAGAAATATGTTACCTACTTCAGAAAATTGAATTGTCTAAAAAAATATCTAAATATCCCAGCACTTTGGGAGGCTGAGGCAGGCAGATCACCTGAGGTCAGGAATTTGAGACCAGTCTGGACAACATGGTGAAACCCTGTCTCTACTAATAATTCAAAAATTAGCTGGGTGTGGTGACACACACCTGTAATGACAGCTATGTGGGAAGCTGAGGCAGGAGAATTGCTCGAACCTGGGAGGCGAAGGTTGCAGTAAGCCAAAATTGCATGACTGCACTCCAGCCTAGTCGACAAGAGCAAAACTCCGTTCTCCAAAAAATAATAATAATAATAAATAAATATTTGTCCTTGTCACATATTTATGTTTATAAATGCGAGATGACTTTTTCACAAAATTTACATTGAAATTTGTTTAGTAATCGTCACATTTGGGGTTTTAAAGTGAGCTTTACTTTACTTTTGTATTTTTTAGGAGACCCGTGTACAGTGTCATCTCAGTTGGAGTTAGAAGAAGCCTTTAGACTTTATGAACTAAACAAGGATTCTGAACTCTTGATTCATGGTAAGAGAGTAGTTATTTCATACTTGTCCAGAGTGATAATTTATTTGAAATCAGTCTTTATTCTTGACCGTTTTGAAACATAATCCCAATGTCATTTTCTTAATCTCTGTGATTCATGCCTAAGTAATTGTTCTTATTCAGTAGTTTCTCACATGCTGCTACAAAAGGTAAAATTAATCTGCTTCTTATAGTCTGGGGAATTTTGTGATCTCTGTCAGTCTTGTTGGATATTAAAATGTGATTTCTCAGTGTATCACAGCAAGTTTATGACAGAACTTAAAAGTTGAGAGCCTGGGGAATCTAAGTCATCTCCTTGCAGTTTTGTAATGTATGGAAATAATAACCTCCAAAGGTAAGGTATCTTTAATATCTTTGCTTTTGCTTAAGGGTTAATAGTGAAACAGTTTACATGATTATTTATTTTTGAGACAGAGTCTCACTCTGTCACTCGGGCTGGAGTGCAGTGGCATGAGCTCAGCCCACTGTAACCTCTGCCTCCCAGGTTCCAGTGCCTCAGCCTCCCAAGTAGCTGGGATTACAGGCGTGTACCACCATGGCTGGCGAATTTTTGTATTTGTAGGAGAGGCAGGGTTTCACCATGTTGGCCAGTGTGGTCTCAAACTCCTGGTCTCAAGAGATCTGCCTGCCTTGGCCTCCCAAAGTGCTGGGATAACAGGCATGAGTCACCGCATCCAGCCCATTTACGTGATGCTTTACAGACACTAATATGTTTAAACCTCAACCACTTTGAGATGTAGGAAGTGGCATAGAAGAAGAAACCTAAACTCAGTTATCATGTAACTGGCACATCGTAGACCTGGATTGTGAATCTATGAATTCTGATTCCAAATTTTTGTTTCTTTCATTTCACTATCCTCAAATTTTTTTTGCCTTCAAAATTTTTTTATGTCATGTAAAACTTTCTTTTTTGAGGCAGTTTCTCTCGCTCTGTTTCCCAGGCTGGAGTGCAATGGTGCAGTCATAGCTCACTTCAGTCTTGACTTCCCAGGTTCAAGTGATCCTCCTACCTCAGCCTTCTGAGAAACTGGGACCACAGGCACTGCCACACCACTATGACTGGCTAATCTTTTTTTTTTTTTCTGTAGACATCGGGTATCACTGTGATGCCCAGGCTGGTTTCAAACTCCTGAGGTCAAGGAGTCTGCTACCATCTGGACCTCCGAAAGTGCTGGAATTACAGGTGTGAACCACCATACCCAGCCAAGAACCTCTTAATATACTGCATTTAATCGCAATATATTGGCAGTATTTCATCTAACATTTTTGAGAGTTGTGAGACCAGACTTGGGAAACTTAAAAAGTGGAAAAAATGTAAATCCTTCTTCAAGTATAATGAATCATTTTAGTACCTTATTGTTATTCCTTCGTATTTTCCTTTACAATGTATTTGTTATAAAAAAACAACAACAACAGTAGTTTGATTTTATCTTTTTTATTGAGGCAGAGTTTCACTCAGTTTCTCTCGCTCTGTTTCCCAGGCTGGAAGGCAGTGGCACGATCTCGGCTCGTTGCAGTCTCCACCTCCTGGGTTCAAGCGATCCTCATGCCTCAGTCTCCTGAGTACCTGGGATTACAGGCGCCGCCACCATGCCCAGCTAATTTATTATTATTATTATTTGTAGAGACAAGGTCTCACTATGTTGCCCAGGCTGGTCTCGAACTCCTGACCTCAAGTGATCCACCCGCCTTGGCCTCCTAAAGTGCTGGGATTACAGGCATGAGCCACCATGCCTGGCCTGATTTTTCCTCTCTCTAGAATTTGGCATAGTGACTCACAAGGGGTCCATAATTTACTCTGAGATTCTAATAGAGCTTTAAGAGTCTATTTTTTCGTCATCTTTCCAGAATAAAATTACAATGAATGCATAAAGCAGCGATTGATGAATGGTATTAAACAGTCAGTTTTAAGTCTTACTGCCTTTTAATGCTACATCACAGATGTTTTCAGATATTTGCTTATGTTTCAGCTCTTAGAAATATGCATTAGGAACTGTTCTTCCTGTATTCTGTGCTCTTTATTTTCTGTGTCCTTTAGTGCATCACAGACTGTGAATAACTGACTAGGTTTTCATAAATACATTGTTGCTTTATATTCTACCTTGTTATAACAATGGTTTGAATTAGTATATAAATTTGTAGTTTCTAATGTAAATTTACATTTTTGGATTTTGGTACTGTTTCTGGTGTTAATTTAGTCCAAAGTTTAGTATACATCTTTTAAAAACTAATATGTACCATATTTGTATACTTTTTTGTAATTTAATTTGCATTCTTTATTGTGACAAACTTGTCCCACTATACCAAGGATTTAAGGAAATACTAGTTAATAATTTCTTTAAGGATAAGAAAATGATTAATGATATAACAGGGACCGGAATGTCATTTGAGCTTCTAATGCATTGGTTTTGTTTTGTTTTGTCTTTGTTTTTGAGATGGTGTCTCACTCTGTCACCAGGCCTGGAATGCAGTGGCATGATCTTGGCTCACTGCAACCTTCGCCTCATGGGTTCAAGCGATTCTCGGGCCTCAGCCTCCCAAGTAGCTGAGACTGTAGGCGTGCCACCACACCCGGCTAATTTTTTTTTGTATTTTTTAATAGAGACAGAGTTTTACCATGTTGGCCAGGCTGGGATCTCCTGACCTCAAGTGATCTACCCACCTAGGCCTCCCAGAGTGCTGGGATTAGAGGTGTGAGCTACTGTGCCTGGCCTGATGCATTGTTTATAGACATGTTTGTTTTCTTAAGACCTTTTCTTCTTCTTCATCTTTTTTTAACACCAACAAAGCAAAGGCAAATAAAGCTTTCTTTTATATGGCCTTGGTAAAATTAATTCCTTTGGCAAATAATACTGACCACATGCTATGTATCTTGCTCATGTGAAGAGAGGGTCAAGTTGAAATCCGGGCAGTTTCTTTTACATTTGAATTTTTTTTTTTCTTTTTTTTTTAATTATTTCCTTGGGATGCCAGAACAGTCTCAGTCACTCTGCCTGGACTGGTCTACAGAGCCGAGCTGGAGTGTTTTATACATTTGAATTTTAAATTATATGTAATGTGTATGTTTTAAATATGCTGTTAACTCATGCTAATTCATTTTCTTTCAGTGTTCCCTTGTGTACCAGAACGTCCTGGGATGCCTTGTCCAGGAGAAGATAGTGAGTGTTTACATACTTCATACCATTTACAGGAATTACTATGCTGTTGTTCAAGTGAAAAGAAATCAGAAATAGAATTTTTAGCCAGGTGCAGTGGCTAGTGGCTAATGCCTATAATCCCAGCACTGTGGGAGGCTGAGGTGGGAGGATCACTTAAGCCCAGGAGTTCAAGACCAGCCTGGGCCACAAAGTGAGACCTTGTCTCTACATAAAAGACAAAAAATAATTAGCATGGTGTGTGCCTATAATTGCAGCTGCCTGGGAGGCTGAGGTGGGAGGATCCCTTGAGCCTAGGACTTTGAGACTGCAGTGAGCCAGGGTCACACTACTGCACTCTAGTGTGGGTGAGACAGGCCCTATCTCAAGTGAAGGAAAAAAAAAAAAAAAGGAAATAGAACTTCTAATTCATTTTATTTATTTTCCATTTTTTAGTCTAATTTAGAATATATTAGTTACTGCCCAAATGCTACTTTTGCCAGATCAAATTCAGATAGTTCTTAGTTACAACTTACATGGTTGTCTGTTGCACATATGAAAGGAAAATTAATTGGATAGCTTTAATTTCAAATTGTGCCAAAAAAAAAATTAAGTCAAATTTAAGTTTTAAAATTTAATTTCGGAAATTTTATATATAGGTCCAAACCTATGCAGATGTTGAAACAACATTGAAAACAAGGGTACCTGCCTGGAAACTGAAGTGTTCTATTAATTGAAAAAAAAAAAAAAAGTAAAAAAGAAAATAAAAATAAAAATTAAAAAAAAAGAGGATACCTGTGTATCCTTTGCCCAGATTTACCAATTTTTGACATTTTTTCTCTTTGCTTTTTCTCTTTCTCTGTGTCTCACATATGCATGCACAGTTATACATAACAAACGCATTTGTTTTATTTTTTTTGCTATACCACTTGAGAGTGACATGACACTCAGCACATGCCATTAGGAATTGACTTTATTTTCTGCAGTGTTTTTTTTTAAAAAACAATTATTAAGTCACCTTTTCTTTTTCTTTAAGTTTTTTTGAGACAGAGTCTCACTCTCACCTAGGCTGGAGTGCAGTGCAGTGGCACAATATCTCGGCTCATTGCAGCCTCCTCCTCTGGGGTTCAAGTGATTCTCTTGACTCAGCCTCCTGAGTACCTGGGATTACAGGTGCCTGCCACCACGCCCAGCTTATTTGTGTATTTTTAGTAGAGATGGTGTTTCACTATGTTGGCCAGGCTGGTCTTGAATTGCTGACCTCAGGTGATCACCTGCCTCAGCCTCCCAGAGTGCTGGGATTACAGGTGTGAACCACAGTGCCTGGCCCCAAGTCATTTATTAAATGTCTTTAAATATTGCAGAATTCCCACAATTGACCCAGAGAAATGTGTATATTTATTAGATCTCAAACTCTTAGTAACTTTGGGTAACCAACCATAGTCCACAGTGGAATGGTGGTTCTCACCCTTGGACACATTAAAATTGTGGGATAGAGGAAATGATCAATGCCAGATTTCCATTCCCAAGCCTAATGAATCAGTGTGGGGGTGGGATCTGGATGTCTTTAGTATTTTAAAACTGACTCTCAAAATGTAGCCATTGGGGCCCACAGCATCAGCATCACCTGAGAACTTGATAGAAACTGCACTGCAGGTTGGGCACGGTGGCTCATACCTGTGATCCTAGAACTTTGGGAGGCCAGGGCTGGTGGATCACCTGAGGTTAGGAGTTCAAGACCAGCCTGGCCAACATGGTGAAACCCTGTCTCTACTAAAAATACAAAAAAAGTTGCCAGGCATGGTGGTGCATACCTGTAATCCAGCTACCTAGGGGGCTGAAGCAGGAGAACTGCTTGAATCCAGGAGGCAGAGGTTGCAGGGAGCTGAGATCACGCCACTACACTCCATTCTGGGCAATAGAGTGAGACTCCATCTCAAAAAAAAAAAAACCTGATTCATAAACTCTTGAACTGGGGCTGAGCTACCAGATTTAACAAGCTCTTCAGGTGATTCTGATGCACACTAAAGTTTCAGAACTACCATTTAAAAGCTTCTCCCTGTTAGGAATTGTTAAGGAAATTTCCTTGGAATATCTAAGCTACTGCTTATTATTTTGTTTTGTTTTGTTTTGTTTAGAGACAGAGTCTTGCTCTGTCACCCAGGCTGTAATGCAGTGGCGCAATCTCGGCTCACTGCAACTGCTGCCTCCCGGCTTCAAGGGATTCTCCTGCCTCAGCCTCTGCAATAGCAGGGACTACAGGCGCGTAGCACCATGCCTGGCTAATTTTTTGTATTTTATATTTTTAGTAGAGACAGAGTTTCACCATGTTAGCCAGGATGGTCTCAATCTCCTGAACTCATGATCTGCCCGACTTGGCCTCCCAAAGTGCTGGGATTACAGGCATGAGTCACCGTACCTGGCCAGTGGTTATTATTAATGAGATGAACTAAAAGAGTCAAACTCCTCTTTGTTCTAGTGTAATTTAAGTATGCAAACTTATGTTTGAGTACGTTACTGCTTTTGATGTTTGGCGTAATTTACTAAGTATGGATATTAGGCAACTCATTTTCATTTGTGGTTTTGGTACATGCCCATGTTTTGCTTTGAATTAATTGAAATAGCTCTAAACTTTCAATTCTGTGTTAAGCTATCCTAAGATTCCTAATTGAGAGCATTGCAGCTGCTCTTTAGTATCTTAATTTTAAATAGTAAACCCAGTGCTACATTTGCATTAAAATATGACTTTGGGAACCTAATGTAGTCTTTCCATGGTATTAACTATTACTGTTATTACCATTACTGTGGGATGTTATTATTAATGACTAATAGACAATATATATAATAAGGATGAACTTAAAAATATGAAGGTGGACTAGATTTGATCTTTTGGAACCTCTTTCTCTAAGTATACTTAAGAAACATTAATATAAGGACCACTGGAGAAAAGTTGTTGGGGGAAAAAGATATGCTTGTGGTACAAAATATCACTTTACCTATTAGTTACAAAAAGTGAAATGTACCTTTACAATGAAGAGATCTAGCAGTCACTACCTTTAATAGTGATTGAATATCAGTAGTGAGAGTTGATATCCTGACATTTGTGTACCCCATGATGTAATGAGATAAGAAATACACAGCAAGACACTATCTATGTATTGTTTTTGCCAAAAGTATTTAATACTGCCTCGAATCATAAGTAAACAGATAATCCAGAATATGGAATATAATATGAAACAACTAACCAGACTCTTTAAAAAAAAAAAGTCAACATCATGAAAAAGAAATAACAACAAGAAGAACTAAAAGAAAAAGAAAAAAAAATAAAAAATAAGAAATAACAACAAATACGGCAGAGTGAATGTTTTAGAATACAATAAGGAGACCAAAAAGTCATGATCAAATGCAATCCCTGAGTCTTGATTGCATCCTGGATAGAAAAAGTGAGCTTTGAAAGTCACTATAATCCCAGCACTTCAGAAGGCTGAGGCAGAGAGATCCCTTGAGAACAGTAGTTCGAGACCAGCCTGACCAATATGATGAAATCTCTTCTTTACTAAAAATACAAAAATTAGCTGGATATGGTGGCATGTGCCTGTAATCCCAGCTACTCGGGTGACTGAGACAGAAGAATCACTTAAACCCAGGAGGAGGAGGTTGCAATGGGCTGAGATTGCACCACTGCATTCCAGTCTGGGTGATGGAGTAATACTCTGTCTCAAAAAAAAAGGAAGAAAGAAAGAAGAAAGAAAGTCACTTTGAGAGCAAGTAGGGAAATTTGTATATGAATTGTATATTGGTTGATATTGAATTAATACTAGTTTTCTAAGACATGGCAATGGTATTGTGGTAATGTAGAATTGTGGGGGAATGTCCTTAATTTCAGGCAGTGGATACTTAGGCATTTAAGGGTATTTAAGTGTCATGATATCTGCATTTTACTTCCAAGTAATTCAGAAAAAAATATATATGTTTTTGTAGCGAAGAAAGTAAATATGACAAAACATGAATAATTGGTAAATCTCAGTAAAAGATACAGATGTCTCTTATTTTACCTTTTCTGTGGTATTAAAAGATATTCAAAATACAAAGTTGGAGGAGAATTTTTAAAAAGAAAAGCAGTAGTAGGCTGGGCACGTTGGCTCACGCCTGTAATCCCAGCACTTTGGGAGGCCAAGGCGGACAGATCACCTGAGATCAGGAGTTCAAGACCAGCCTGGCCAACATGGTAAAACCCCGTTTTTACTAAAAAGACAAAAATTAGCCAGGCAGGATGGCAGACGCCCATAATCCCTCAGTCACTCAGGGGCCTGAGGCAGGAGAATCGCTTGAACCCAGCAGGCAGAGGTTGCAGTGAGCTGAGACTGAGCCACTGCACTCCAGCCTGGGTGACAGAGCATGACTCTGTCTCAAAAAAAAAAAAAAAAAAAAAAAAAAAAAAGAGCCAACCAGTAGTAGTAGTCAAATATTAATACTCTGTGGTCTTTATTTCCATCTGGTCCCTTGATGAATCTATTTTAATTTTTGACATTCGGGTTTTTATCAGTATTTTTTTTCTTGCAATGAGTATCATGAAAAAAATTACAGACTTAATTATAAAATGACTTTTACTCACACTTGCTCTTTTTTCTTATTTTAACTACTCATCTCTCTTCAGAATCCATCTACCGTAGAGGTGCACGCCGCTGGAGAAAGCTTTATTGTGCCAATGGCCACACTTTCCAAGCCAAGCGTTTCAACAGGGTAAACAGTTCATTGAATGTTGATAATGTGAGACGGCTATTTTTTTCCCTTTCTACTGTGAAAGAAAGGTAGTTCGTTATTAAGTCTTGTTATACAGTTTTAAATAAATAAGTAGCATAACCTTACATTTCCAGTTTGCCTGAGGCAGTATGCCTATATTTTTAAATAGCATCTCCTTTCACTCTTAAAAATGCTCCAGGCCAGGTGTGGTGGCTCAGGCCTATAATCCCAGCATTTTGGGAGGCCAAGGTGACTGGATTACTTGAGGCCAGGAGTTTGAGAGCAGCCGGGCCAACTTGGCAAAACCCCATCTCTATTAAAAATACAAAAATTAGCCAGGCGTGGTGGTGTGCACCTACTTGAATCCAAGAGGGAGGTTGCAGTGAGCCGAAACTGTGCCACTGCATTCCAGCCAGCAGTGGAGCAAGACCCGGTCTCAAAAAGCTCCAGATTGACTGATTAATTATTCCACATAATATACCCTAGCTGTAAGGAAATTGGATTTTAAAATACAATTTAAGGTAGCCAGAAAACAAGTAAGGTTTATTTTCCTTATTTAATATCTGTTTTGCCAGTTAATGTTGTAATTTGATTTTCACTGTTTAGAAAATAATAATAGCAAACACAGCTGGGCACAGTGGCTCACGCCTGTAATCCCAGCACTTTGGGAGGCCGAGGCGGGTGGATCACGAGGTCAAGAGATCGAGACCATCCTGGTCAACATGGTGAAAGCCCGTCTCTACTAAAAATACAAAAAAATTAGCTGGGCATGGTGGCGCGTGCCTGTAATCCCAGCTACTCAGGAGGCTGAGGCAGGAGAATTGCCTGAACCCAGGAGGCTGAGGTTGCGGTGAGCCGAGATCACACCATTGCACTCCAGCCTGGGTAACAAGAGCGAAACTCCATCTCAGGAAAAAAATAAAATATAATAATAATAATAGCAAACACTTGTCTGGGTTATACTACGTACCAGGCACTTTTTCAAATGCCTCATATACCTTGATTCATTATATCCTTACAACAACCTTGTAAGATAGGTACTATATGTTTCCATTTTATAGATGGCAAAACTCAAGAACAGGGTAGTTATTAACGTAACTTGCACAAGATGATACAGCTAGTCAGTGATAGAACCAAAGTTTGAAAGCAGCAGCCTGTCTTCAGAAGTCAGTTAATTTATTATGTATTTGTTTGTTTATTTTTTAAGTCCTGCTCTTGCCCAGGCTGGAGTGCAGTGGCACAATCTCAGCCCACTGCAACCTGCATCCTGGGTTCAAGTGATTCTTGTGCCTCAGCCTCATGATTAGCTGGGACTACAGGCATCAGCCACTAGCCCCGACTATTTTTTGCATTTTTAGTAGAGACAGGGTTTTGTCATGTTGGCCAGGCTGGTCACAAACTCTTGATCTCAGGTGATCCGTCTGCCTCAGCCTCCCAGAATGCTGGGATTACATGCATGAGCCACCAAGAAGCCAATTTATTAAATAGTCTTGATAACTGCAAATTTTTGGGTGCCATTGCCATTCTAAAACTATGTTCTAAATTAATTAACGTAAATAGAAACGACCACCTGAAATTCCTCCCCAAACTCTTGTACTTGCAGTAGCACTGACATTTAAGAAGGTTTTGAGGCTGGGTGCAATGGCACATGCCTATAATCCCAGCAGTTTGGGAGGCTGAGGAGAGGGATCACTTAAACCCAGGAATTCGAGACCAGCCAGGGCAACACAGTGAGATCCCATCTCTACAAAAAATACAAGCATTAGTGGGGTATGGTGATGCATGCCTGTAGTCCCAGCTACTCAGGAAGCTTGAGCCTAGGAGGCTGAGGCTGCAGTGAGTAAAAGTGACTCCACTGCCCTCCAGCCTGACAGAGCAAGACCCTGTCTCTTAAAAAAAGGGGGAGGGGAGGAGTGTGGGGGGCTGAGCACGGTGGATCACGAATGAGGTCAGGAGTTCAAGACTAGCTTGGCCAAGGTGGTGAAACCCCGTGTCTACTAAAGATACAAAAAAAAAACATTAGCCAGGCACGGTGGCGAGTGCCTGTAATCTTAGCTGCTCTGGAGGCTGAGGCAGGAGAATCGTTTGAGCCTGGGAGTTGGAGGTTGCAGTGAGCCGAGATTGCACCATTGAACTCCAGCCTGGGCAACAAGAGTGAAACTCTGTCTCCAAAAAAAAAGAAGAAGAAGAAAAAGGTGGCTTTCAAATGAAAAGCCACCTTAGGTATTGGTCTTTAAGAAAACAGCTTTGTTTGACCTCTAAACAGCCTGGAAGGTTTATGTTTGCCTTTTCTGCCACATGTATTTCTAGTTTAATTCACTTTTTCTGTTTTCATTATTCTGAACTTAATTATGTAAAGACTGAAAATTCTTAGACTTACTACAGAAAGAAATGTGGTTGCAAATTTCACTGTCTCTTAAAAACAAGCTCTCCTTTTTCACTGACCTTCATAGCATTTGAAAAGTTATGTATGAGGAAGCTTTGTTTTGCTTTTGTTGTTTTTTGTCATGGGCTGACAGTTGACACCACGATGCAGGGAATTGAGTCAGCAAATTGTTTGGGAAATGATTATGACCTTCTTTTTGGTTAATAAAATGTTGTTGAATTACTCTTTTCAGCGTGCTCACTGTGCCATCTGCACAGACCGAATATGGGGACTTGGACGCCAAGGATATAAGTGCATCAACTGCAAACTCCTGGTTCATAAGAAGTGCCATAAACTCGTCACAATTGAATGTGGGCGGCATTCTTTGCCACCGGTAAGATACAGTTGTCTGTCCTTTTTTTAATAGCATGCTTGATAATCCTGCTGAAACAGAGTGCTAAAGTAGAGAGGTGTTCAGGAATTACAGCACAAGAGAGTAGTTACAGAGTGCGGGTAGGAATACCTTACATTCCTCTTATACTGTGAACTTCGGAACTTCGAAATATCTGTGGTAACATTTGTTTGTGCGATATAGTTAGCTTCTTTGACCTGCTCTAAAACCCTCTGGTCTAAATTAGGAAGAGATACGGAGAACATTTAAGAGTTTTTTCCCCCTCTCCTTTAATCTGAACATATTAGTTTATAGCTCACATTATTCTAGCAGCCATCTTAAGCAGATAAGGTAAGAAGAGTCCGAGGTATCATGTTTGCTATTTAAAGTGTAAGATTACTGGGGAGAAAAGCATTTAACTTTTATTTATCACTTTCTATTTAAGTATGTAAGTAAAACGTGTTTGTTATAGAAAAAAAATACAGAATATGGATGAATGAAGAAAAAATTAAGTAAAAGTCCACATATATTCTACCGTCTAAAGGTAATTGTCATTTGGTGGATATCCTTCCAGAACTTGTCCTGTGCAAATTTATATGCATAAGCATTTTAATTTTCCATATGGAAAAACTGTAAACATATTTCAGAGTAGATGGAACACTAATGAACTCCCTTGTACTAGATACCCAGCTCCAACAGTTACCCACTCATGACTAATCTTGGTTTCATCTATACCCCATTCACTTTACTTACCCTTACCCTGTGTTGTTTTCAACAAATCTCAGACATATTTCAGCATGTACCTCTAAAAGATAAGGACTTTTTTTAAAAAACCTAACTAAAAACCAAATTCCTTATATCAAATATCCAGTCATTGTTCTCATAAATAAGATTTAGTTTTTATAGTTTTCATTATGAATCAGGATCCAAATGAAGTCCACGTGTACAATTGATTGATCTCTTAGATGTTTTTTAATTTACGGGTTCTTTCTTCATTTCTCTCTTTCTCTCTCCTTTTTTTCCTTAGAATTTTATTGTAAAAGTAATGGTTATTTGTTTGTCATTTACACTGTTGCAGAATTGTGCTCAGGACTTCTCCGTGGTTATGTTCAGCTTGTTATTCTGTCTTCTTTATTCTTTTGTCTTGTACAATAGTTGGATGTTGAGGTTTAATTAGATTCTGGCTTTTGTTTTGGTGCGTTGTTTCTGAGTCGACTTTACAAAAGATTGTTTATCCACCAGAAGACACATGTGCTTGTGTGTGCCTTTTTTTGTTGTTATTTTGAGATGGAGTCTCACTCTGTCTCCTGGGCTGGAGTGTAGTGGCACGATCACATCTCGCTGCAACCTCCGTCTTCTGGGTTCAGGTGATTCTCCCACCTCAGCCTCCCAACTAGCTGGGACTGTAGGTGTGTGCCACCATGCCCAGCTAATTTCTGTATTTTAAGTAGAGACAGGGTTTTGCCATGTTGGCTAGGCTGGTCTTGAACTCCTGACCTCATGATCCACCTGCCTCGGCCTCCCAAAGTGTTGGGAGATGTGAACCACTTTACCTGGCCAACCTTAGTGAACTTTCTTGCAAATCATACTTCCTTAAGGATCCAGAACTAGAATTACTGGGTTAAGAGATACGCATTTAAAGTACCTGGATGCAGCTGTCCAGGCGCACTGCCTGCCAGTTAGCCCTGCTTCACAAAGAAAGGAAGAAAAATACTTGGATGCACCTTTCTAAATTGTCCTTTAGAATTGTTATACCATATTTATTCATGGGATTTTCTTTGGATGTTGTGAAAGCAGGTTGTTACTGGTAGCTCTTGGTATTAGAATTATTTAATGAGTTCATATAAGCTTAGGAATGGGTTTGTAGTTAAGGGGAAAATCTAATCTTCAGGAAAAACAGAAGGCTGAATATTTCCAACATCATTTATATAGGTTACTGTTAATATGTTCGAGTATTCTTTGGTGACATATGGAAGGAAAGGGGGCAGGGTTATTGATTATATCGAAATTTTAGGATGGAGGTTAAATGCCTTTAAAAATCCTTAAGCTTACTTATGAGCCTGTCTTTAAGGCAGCCTTGAAATTATAACTGTGTCATTAATGTTCTTTCTCAAGTTTACTTTTTCCTGATGGTATTCATTAAATGTGAATCTAAGATTAATAAATTAGTAATAACTTGAGTTTGAATCTACATTTTTCCTGAGATTATTGACCGTTATTTGAATAAGTTAGTTTCTAGGAGGTATTTCTTTTCTCTTTTTGGGGACCACTGACACCTTTGAAAATCTTCAGGAAAATAGGAAACCCACAAAAATTTACATATAATTTTAAGGGGTTGTAGATATCCTGAAGTCTACCCCGGATCCCAACTAAAGAATGCATATTCCAGAGACTTCTTTTTGCTAAAGATTTGTAGTGGAGTTTGAAGGAAGAATAGGTACTATCGAAGAGAAACAAATCAGAACATATAGCAGTTTAATTTGATTTCTAATTGGGGGTCTTAGATTAGTTTTGTATTATCTTTTCTGTAAAATATGACTAAAATATGACATAACTAATATGGTGGCACAGGAAATATTGTATAGTTTCATAAAACAAAATTAAAAGTAAATATAATTCTCACTTAAGTTATATTCTTTCAAAATTAAATTTTAATATGCTGTGTGTTGTTGAAATAGTGTTATTTCTGGGTGTATTAGAGGTATTGGGATTTAAAAAGAATTCATTGAGTTACTATGTCTTTGGAAATGTTTGTAGGAGCCAATGATGCCCATGGATCAGTCATCCATGCATTCTGACCATGCACAGACAGGTAAGAGTGGGGCTGGCACAACCCATTGTTCATTCACAGAATAGCATGTAAAGACTTACTTAGGTGACTCTTTTACCCAAGTTTAAAAACATTTATGTTCTTCCTAAATAAAAGTAAATATACGTTTTGTAGTAGTAAAATGAGTCACACTATTTAACATACACGTTTGGCTTTTTTTTTAATATTTAAATCCAGCTGTGCTTAGAACATGTGGATTTTTTAAAGATAACTATGGGCTGGGCACAGTGGCTCACGTCTGTAATCCCAGCTACTTGGGAGGCTGAGGTGGAAGAATCGATTGAACCCAGGAGTTGGAGGTTGCAGTGAGCTGGGATCACACCAGTGCACTCCAGCCTGGGTGACAAAGCAAGACTCCATCTCAGAAAAGAGAAAAAAACGAAAAACAAAAAGACAACTATGGGCCGGGTGTGATGGCTCACACCTATAATCCCAGCACTTTGGGAGGTCGAGGCAGGAGGATCCCTTGAGCCCAGGAGTTTGAGACTAGACTGGCCAACGTAGGGAGACCCTGTCTGTTTTTTCTATTTTTTCAAAAAAAGGCTTTGTTACCTACAACTAATGACCGTTTTTTCTAGTTCACATAAATTTCTTTTGAGACTCCTTTAAATTCAGCAAACTCAGTTTTTTTCATAATGAAAAAACATAAAGCTTACTTTGGCCTATGTTGAGTGTGTTCAAGTGACTTGGTTTTTTCCTAAGACAGAGTCTTGCTCTGTTGCCTCCCAGAGTGCTGGTATTACAGGCATGAGCCACTGTGCCTGGCCGAAGTGACTTGTTTTTTTTTCAAAGCTTTATAATCAGCAGTAGGAATTAGGTAAAAGGTAGAGAGATGCAATATGGGAAATTCCAGGAAGATGGCAGAAATTAAAATGTTAGATAGATACCTTAAAATAATGTTGAGTAGATAAAACCTTAAACAAATATTTGGGAAATTTGGAGAGCAGTGAAAGGAGGGAGAACAGCATGGTCTTCTCTGGACTAAATCAGGAAAGGGAAAACAAGGGAGTTTTTCCGAAAAGACAAAATGCAATCTCCTAGTCATGGACGGATGAGCTATGTGAAATGTAGGCTTTTTTTGGCCCTAGGTAGCTTTAAGAAGTAGAAGTTCCATCCTGGTCTGTTTTGTTTTTGTTTTTGCTTTGAGGCGGAGTCTCGCTCTGTCGCCCAGGCTGGAGTGCAGTGGCATGATCTCGGCTCACTGCAGCCTCTGCCTCCATGGTTCAAGCGATTCTCTGTCCAAGCCTCCCCAATAGCTGGGACTACAGGTTAGTACCACTACACCCAGCTAATTTTTTGCATTTTTAGTAGAGACAGGGTTTCACTGTGCTAGCCAGGATGGTCTCGATCTTCTGACTTCGTGATCTGCCTGCCTCGGCTTCCCAAAGTGCTGGGATTACAGGCGTGAGCCACAGCACCTGGCCTGTTTTTTACTTGACCATTGTGGTAGTAAGGAAAATTTTGAGTATGATGGAGTGAAAAGTGAAAAACAGAGGTCCTGTATTTCTGTCTTAGTCATACTAAAAAATTTAAACATATCTTAGAGAGTAATTCATTTTGAAGGAGTGTTTGATTAATTTGTAAAGAAGAGAAATGTTTTAAAAATAACAAAAGTACTTCTTGGAAGCGGTACTTGGCTACCAGGTTGCAATGCATGCTTCCTTTACCCTCCCTAAAGATTAGGATTTAACTATTGTATTTACATACAACTTGTTATTAGTAGGACAAGTATTTAGTTTTAAATAATGAAAATTTTTTCAGAAGTAAAAAGTAAAAATTAGAAAATTTTTATTTCAAACTCGTTAATGGTTGCTGTGTTTTTTCCCCCGCACCTTTTTTTTTTTTTAATGTTTGGTAATGGATGTTTAGTAATTCCATATAATCCTTCAAGTCATGAGAGTTTGGATCAAGTTGGTGAAGAAAAAGAGGTAAGATCATTTGTCTTATTGTACATTATGTCATTAGCTTTTTAGTAAGACTCAGGAGTTTAAAAGTATGACATACTGACCTGCTTAGAATTTAGATCATAATGATAAAATACAAAAATGATTTGTAATGATTCCAGAGTTTTATTCTGACTTAATTTAGTAATTAAATTACTGATTTAAGCTAGGAAGTAATTTAGTGGGATAACTTATTTTTATTTTAAAATAGCTTAATCTGAAAATTACAGTGTAGTTAAGGATACTGTTTGAAGTACTTGGTAGTAGTGTTTAAAATATATAGTAGACCCTTCTATTTTGTATGTGAATTGCTTATTTAGACAATAAATTATTAAACATGTTAACTGTCACTATTTTTTTCTGACTATTAAGCATTTTATCAGTTTGTTTGTTTGTTTGTTTATTTATTTTTTTGAGACGGAATTTCACTCTTGTTGCCCAGGCTGGAGAACAATGGTGTGATCTTGGTTCACCACAACATCTGCCTCCCAGGTTCAAGCGAGATTCTCCTGCCTCAGCCTCCCGAGTAGCTGGGATTACAGGCGTGCACCACCACGCCTGGCAAATTTTGTATTTTTAATAGAAACAGGGTTTCTCCATGTTGATCAGGCTGGTATCAAACTCCCAACCTTAGGTAATCTGCCTGCCTCAGCCTCCCAAAGTGCTGGGATTATAGGCTTGAGCCACCACACCCAGCCTACATTTTATCAGTTTTTTTTTTTTAAGACAGAGTCTTGCTCTGTCGCCAGGCTGGAGTGCAGTGTTGCGATCTTGGCTCACTGCAACCTCTGCCTCCTGAGTACAAGCAATTCCCCTGCCTCAGCCTGGGACTACAGGCGTGAGCTACCACGCCCAGCTAATTTTCTGTATTTTTAGTAGAGACAGGGTTTCGCCATGCTGGCCAGGCTGGTCTTGAACTCCTGACCTTGCGATTCACCCTCCCAAAGTGCTGAGCCACAGCCGGCTCTTATCAGTTTTTAAAACAAAACAAATGGGGCCGGGCGTGGTGGCTCATGCCTGTAATCCCAGCACTTTGGGAGGCTGAGGCGGGTGAATCACGAGGTCAGGTGTTCAAGACCAGCCTGGCCAGCATGGCAAAACCCCGTCTCTACTAAAAATAGAAAAAATTAGCTGGGTGTAGTGCTGGGCACCTGTAATCCTAGCTACTCATGAGGCTGAGGCAGGAGCATCGCTTGAACCCGGGAGGTGGAGGTTGCAGTGAGCCAAGATCGCACGGCTGCACTCCAGCCTGGGCAGTGGAGTGAGACTCCATCAGATAAATAAATAAATAGAACAAATTCTTAATTAAAATTATTTGATTAAAATAATCAGTTTTGGGGGGCCAGGCACAGTGGCTTGCACCTGTAATTTCAGCAGTTTGGGAGGCTGAGGTGGGTGGATCACCTGAGGTTGGGAGTTCGAAATCAGCCTGACCAACAAGGAGAAACCCCCTCTCTACTTAAAAAAAATACAAAATTAGCCAGGTGTGGTGGCGCATGCCTGTAATCCCAGATACTCAGGAGGCTGAGGCAGGAGAATCGCTTGAACCTGAAGGTAGATGTTGCAGTGAGCTGAGATCTTTGCCATTGCACTCCAGCCTGGGCAACAAGAGCAAAACTCCATCTCAAAATCATCATCAGCTTTTTGAAAAAAGCTTATGGTGAAAAAGATGACCATGTCTCATACCACCCACTCCCGATTGGACTTTTTAGCAACTTTTTTAACCTTTTCTAGTTATGTCCATAATGTTTATGTCTCTTTCAGTTTTTCATTTTTGTATATTTCTGGACATGAAAGGTTGAGTTCATACTGCCTCCTCCTTTTCCCATATCTTTCTTCTTTTTTGAGTTGGGGTCTTGCTTTATTGCCTAGGCTGGAGTGCAGTGGTGTGATCATGGCTCATTGCAACCTTGGACTCCTGGGCTCAAGTTATCTTCCCACCTCAGCCTCCTGAGTAGCTAGGACTGTAGGCACACCCCACCACACCCAGCTAATTTTTTCATTTTCTGTTGTGTAGAGACAGTCTCACTATGTTGCCCAAGCTAGTCTTGAACTCCTGGCCTTAAGTGGTTCTCACAACTCAGTCTCTCAAAGTGTTAGGATTATAGGCATGAGCCACTGTGCCTGACCAAAAATTTCAAACATAAATACAAGTAAACAGAATAATATAACAAAGCCCTTGTGTCTGTTATTAGTGAAAACAATTATCAATTCCTGGCCTGTCTTATTTTGTCTACTCACTTCCCTCACTCCTGTATTATTTTGAAGAAACCTGTTAGTCACCTATTTAATGTTATGTTTTAGTTTCTTGTTCTGTTTGTTTGTCTGAAAAAGCCTTTTTTTCCCCCACATTTTTCCCTTTATTTTTATTATTATTATTTTTTTCAAGTTGGAGTCTTACTCTGTTACCCAGCCTGGAGTGCAGTGGCTCACTGCAACCTCTGCCTCCCGGGTTCAAGCAGTTCTCCTGCCTCAGCCTCCCGAGTAGCTGGGATTACAGGCGCTCGCCACCATGCGAGGCTACTTTTTTTTTTTCTGTGCTTAACACAGAAATTTTTATATTTTTAGTAGAGACAGAGTTTCACCAAGTTGGCCAGGCTGGTCTCAAACTCCTGACATTGTGATCCGCCCACCTCGGCCTCCCAAAGTCCTGAGATTACAGGCATGAGTCACCACACCCAGCCTTTCCTTTAATTTTTTTGTGAGACAGGGTTATTGCCCAGGCAGCTGTGCAGTGGACACAGCCTCAACTTCTTGAGTTCAACCAATCCTTCCACCTCGGCCTCTCAAGTAGCTGGGACTACAGGCATGTATCACCACTGGACCCTTACTTATCACCATATACAAAAATTTACTCTAGATGGAATAAAGATTTAAATGTAAGACCTCAAACTATAAGAATCCTAGAAGAAAACCTAGGAAATACTCTCTTAACATTGGCCTTGGCAAAGAATTTTTTTGGCTAAGTCTCCAAAAGCAATTGCAAAAAAGCCAAAAATTGACAAGTGGGACCTAATTAAACTACAGAGCTTCTGTGCAGCAAAAGAATCCACCAGTAGACTAAGCAGACAGCCTATAGAATGGGAGAAAATATTCACAAACTCTATGTCCAACACGAAGGTCTCATATCCAGAATCTGTAAGGAACTTAACAAAAAACAACCCTAATAAAAAATGGGCAGCTGGGCGCGGTGGCTCACGCCTATAATCCCAGCACTTTGGGAGGCTGAGGTGGGTGGATCACAAGGCCAAGAGATCCAGACCATCCTGGTCAACATGGAGAAACCCCATCTCTACTAAAAATACAAAAATTAGCTGGGCATGGTGGTGTGGGCCCATAGTCCCAGCTACTCGGGAGGCTAAGGCAGGAGAATTGCTTGAACCCAGAAGGCGGAGGTTGCAGCGAGCCGAGATTGTGCCATTGCACTCCAGTCTGGGTAACAACAGCGAAACTCCATCTCAAAAAAAAAAAAAAAAATGGGCAAAGGGCTGGGCATGGTGGCTTATGTCAGTAATCCCAGCACTTTGGGAGGCAGAGGCAGGCAGGTCATTTGAGCCCAGGAGTTTGAGACCAGCCTGACCAAAGTAGTGAAACTCTATCTCTACTAAAAATACACACACAATTACCAGGGGCATGGTGGCACACACCTGTAATCCCAGCTACTCAGGAGGCTGTGGCATGAGAGTCATTGGAACCGGTGAGGCAGAGCTTGCAATGAGCCAAGACTGTGCCACTGCACTCCAGCCTAGGTAACAGAGCAAGACTCTGTTTCAAAAAAACAAACCAAAGGACATGAGCAGACATATCTCAAAAGAAGACCTATAAGCAGCCAACGAATGTGAAAAACCACTCATCATCACTAATTATCAGAGAAATAGAAATCAAAACCTCGGTGAGATACCATCTCACATCAGTCAAAATAGCTTTTATTAAAAAGTCAATCTGGGTGTGATGGCTTGCACCTGTAATCCCAGCACTTTGAGAGAATGAGGCGGAAGCAGTGTTTGAGCTTAGGAGTTCAAGACCAGCCTAGGCAACAGTCTCTACAAAAAATAAAACAGCGAGGTTTGGTGCTGCGCCCCTGTAGTACCAGGTCTTCAGGTGATTGAGGTGGGAGGATTGCTTGAACCCTGCAGGTCAAGGCTCCAGTGAGCCGTGATTGCACCACTACAGCTTTGGTAACGGAGTGAGACACTGTCTCAAAAAAAAAAAAAAAAAAAAAAAAAAAAACTGAAAAAACAACAGATGCTGGTGAGGCTGCAGAAAAAAGGGAATGCTTATATACAGTTGGTGAGAATATAAACTAGCTCAGCCACTGTGGAAAGCAATTTGGAGATTTCTCAAAAAACTTTAAACAGAGCTACCATTTGACCCAGCAATCTCCCATTACTGGGTATGTACCCAAAGAAAAATAGATTGTTCTCCCAAAAAGACACAGGCATTCATAAGTTCATCACTGTAGTATTCAATAGCAGAGACATGGAATCAACCTAGGTGTCCATCAATAGTGGATTGGGTAAAGGAAACATGAAACCATGTACCTTCTGGCAATATAGATAGAGCTAGAGGTTATAATCCTAAACGAATTAATGCAGGAACAGAAAACTAAATACTACATGTTCTCACAAGTGGGAGCTAAGCCTTGAGCGCACATAGACATAATCATAGGAACAGCAGACACTGTTGACTGCTTGAGGCGGCGGCTGCATGGGTTGGAAAACTACCTCTTGAGTACTACGTTCACTGCCTGACTGCAGTATACGCATGTAACAAACACACACACATACACCCTCTATGTAAGATAAAATTTGCATTTAAAAAGGATTACAAATAACACTTTTACTGTTTCGCTAGAAAGTGCAGTGACCTGGGCACACTTTAATATTTAGATTTACCCACATTCTACCCTTTGTGTTTTTAGTTTCTTCCTACATCTTTGTTCCTCCATCTGAGATCACGCTTTTTTCCTTCAAGGACTCAATTTAGTCTTTCCTTCAGTGAGCACCTACTAGTGATGGATTCACTCAGTTTTTGTCTGAAAATGTTTTTCTTTCACTTTCACTTTGTGAGCTACTTTTTCAAGATAAAGAATTCTAGGTCAGCTGTTTTCTTTTTTAGACCCTTTGAAGGTGACATTTCACTGTTACTTGGCTTCTGTCACTTCATTCAGCCTTATTACTTTGCTCTTTTTGGCTCCACTTGATTCTCTCTTATAGTTTCCAGTTAGTCATATTTCAAGTCTATGTGTTGACTTAGTTTCTTACCATTATCTTCTTTTATTCATTCTTTTTTTTTTTGTAGGGACAGGGTTTCACCATTTTGGCTTATCTTGAAATCCTGAGCTTATGATCCACCCACCTCGGCCTCCCAAAGTGCTGGGATTGCAGGCATGAGCCACCGCGCCCAGCCAATTCTCTTCTTTCCTCACCTGTCCGAACCTCGTTTATTTTCACTCTGCTTTATTTATCCTTGTGTGTTAGTCCGTTTTTTGTTGTTATAAAGGAATACCCAAAGGTTGGATGTGGCGGCTGATACCTGTAATCACAGCATTTTGTGGCGCTGGAGAATCATTTGAGGCCAGTAGTTTGGGATCAGCCTTGGCAACATAGCAAGATCCCCTATCTCTACAAAAAATAAATAAAAATTAGCTGGGTGTGGAGGCACATGCCCATAGACCCAGCTACTTGGGAGACTGAGGCAGGAGGATCACTTGAGCCCAGGAGTTCATGGCTGCAGTGAGCTATGTTTGTGCCACTGCACTGCAGCCTGGGTGACAGAGCAAGACCTTTTCTTAAAGAAGTGAATAGGGCTGGGCACGGTGGTTTGCGCCTGTAGTTCCAGCACTTTGGGAGGCCACGGTGGGTGGATCACAAGGTTAGAAGATGGAGACCATCATGGCTAACACCCTGTCTCTATTGAAAATACAAAAAAATTAGCTGGACGTGGTGGCATGCACCTGTAGTCCCTGCTACTTGGGAAGCTGAGGCAGGAAAATCGCTTGAACCCAGGAGATGGAGGTTGCAGTAAGCCAAGATTGCATCACTGCACTCCAGCCTGGGTGACAGAGCGAGACCCTATCTCAAAAAAGAAAGAAAGAAAGAAATGAATGAAGGAATAAAGGAATACCTGAGGCTGGGTATTTATTTGGCATATGGTTCTGCAGGCTGAACAAGAAGCATGGCACTAGCATCTGCTTCTGGTGAGGGCCTCAGGAAGCTTTCAGTCTTGGCAGAAGACAAAGCGGAAGCAAGTGTGCCACATAGGGAGCAAGAGAGGGAGCAAGAGAGTCAAGGGAGATGCCACACTCAGAACTCACTCATTAACCCAAGGAATGCACCAAGCCATTTTTGAGGAATTTGTCCCTATGACCCAAACACCTCCCATTAGGGAATCATATTTGAGCATGAGATTTGAGCTTTGGAAGAGTCATGTATCCAAACTATATCACCTTGTTAACAAATCAAATTATTATTATTATTGATGTTTTTGTTATACATATATATATATTTTATTTTAGATGGAGTCTTGCTCTGTCGCTCAGGCTGGAGTGCAGTGGCGCGATCTCGGCTCACTGCAACCTCCACCTCCCGGGTTCAAGTGATTCTTCTGCCTCAGCGTCTTGAGTAACTGGGACTACTGGTGCATGCCACCACATCCGGCTAATTTTTGTATTTTTAGTAGGGATGTGGTTTCACCATATTGGCCAGGCTAGTCTCAAACTCCTGACCTTGTGATCTGCCCGCCTCTGTCTTCCAAAGTGCTGAGATTACAGGCGTGAGCCACCTGCCTAGCCTATTATTATTATTGACAGGATCTCACTTTGTCACCAGGCTGGAGTACACCAGCACAATCATAGGTTACTGCAACCTTGACCTCTCAGGCTCAGGTGATCCTCCCACCTCAACCTCCCAGGTAGCTGGGACTACAGTGCGTACCACCAACACCCAGCTAATTTTTGTATTTTTTGGTAGAAATGAGGTTTCTCACCACATTGCCCAGGATGGTCTTGAACTCCTGGGCTCAATCAGTCCACCTGTTTCAGCCTCCTGAAATGCTGGAAATACAGGCATGAGCCACTATGCGGCAGCCCAAATTATAATTTCTAAATTTTCACGTATGACCATTTTTTTAAGTTGTCATTCTCACTCAGTTTTTCTAATAACCTTCTTTCAGTTTTGTGCTTGCTGGTTTCTTTATTGGTTTCTTTATCTTTCTCAAAATTTACTCTGCTTTTCTTCATATTCGGAGAATTCATATTTTACTCTCATGGGTCCACTGTGTGCTAATGATTTTGCAGGCATCAAATAAAAGACTATCTTCAGGCTTCTCTGTAAATTACCAGAAGCTTACATTTGTAGTTGTGAATGAATTTTAAGGCTCTTTGTCGTCCCAAAGGGGCCTTAGTATTCTGTGGAAAGGAATGTCTTCCATTCGCTGAATGACTTCATGCTTGTTTTCTGTCTATAGCATCCAAAAAAAAAACGCCTCTGAATGTGTCGTCTCACTAGCTTACATTTTATGTATCAAGCTCCCAGCAGACTCTTTCATCTTGATATCTCCTTGTAACTTCTGAATTTGTTATGAAAAACTCAGTTGTTATCTCCAGTAACTTTGTCAACCTTACCCTAGCCACCCACTTGATGTTCTCTGTCAGCGGGACCCCAATCTCTTGGTCACCAAAGTTAATGTGTTTTTTTGATTCCTGCATCTCTATTGCCTCTATACCCAAAAGTTACATCCTTTTTAAGACATCCTTTGATGGTTTTCTGATTTCAGCTCCCTTCCCATTCTTATTACCATCCCTTTTATCTCAACTTATGAATTCATCCACATAATCTAACTCATTTGGATAGCTAGATTATATGGTTTGGGGTGACATTTAAAAAATATTAAGAACTTAAAAGATTTTTTATGTTAGGAAAATATCTTTAAATCATTATAGGTACAATGAGGTCTTAGAAATATAATGACTGTGCAAAGCATTTCCCATTGTAACTCTGATACAAATACTCTCACCAGGCAATGAACACCAGGGAAAGTGGCAAAGCTTCATCCAGTCTAGGTCTTCAGGATTTTGATTTGCTCCGGGTAATAGGAAGAGGAAGTTATGCCAAAGTACTGTTGGTTCGATTAAAAAAAACAGATCGTATTTATGCAATGAAAGTTGTGAAGAAAGAACTTGTTAATGATGATGAGGTAAGCACCACATGTTTCATTGCTTCTAAACTGTTAAACTGCTTAAGAATAAGCAGTTTATTCTTATTTATTGATTGAGGTTTAAAATAAAACCCCAATCTTTGTGCTTTATTATTTGATTCTACTTTTCTAAATATGTGCTAAGTACATTAAATATATTATTTCAGTTTACTTTTCTTATAGATTATATAAGATATTTAAAGTAATTTGATTATTATTAGACTTTTAAAAAAAAAAAAACAAAAATCGGGCCGGGCGTGGTGCTCAAGTCTGTAATCCCAGCACTTTGGGAGGCCAAGGCGGGTGGATCACGAGGTCAAGAGCTCGAGACCATCCTTGTCAACATAGTGAAACCCCGTCTCTACTAAAAATACAAAAAATTAGCTGGGCAAGGTGGCGTGTGCCTGTAATCCCAGCTATTCAGGAGGCTGAGGCAGGAGAATTGCCTGAACCCAGGAGGCGGAGGTTACGGTGAGCCGAGATGGCACCCATTGCACTCCAGCCTGGGTGACAAGAGCGAAACTCCGTCTCAAAAAAAAAAAACAAAAACAAAAACAAAAATCAAACCACATTATTGTCAGAGGAAATACTTGAGCTTGTAAAAATCTTCTAGACGGTTTTATGATATTGAAAGGTTTACTAGTGTTAATTTTCTCTTTGTAAATTTTTGTTCCATGATCATCAATGGTTTTTATATTTAGCCTAGTTAACAGTTGCATTTGTGACAGTTGAATTGCTCAGAACAAATTTATCATTAATTGCGATGATTTCAGTTTGACATAGATTCCTTTCATGTTTCAAAATAGGATATTGATTGGGTACAGACAGAAAAGCATGTGTTTGAGCAGGCATCCAATCATCCGTTTCTTGTTGGACTCCATTCTTGCTTTCAGACAGAAAGCAGGTAAGATTGAAAGATAATAGAATGATTACTGGGCTTCATATTTTGGGCATATTACACAGAACCTTTCTGCTGTAATTCATGAAGTAGACATCATGGAGGATGCAACAGTGTTCGGCTTATAACTTCCTGCTACTATTACTCCAGTCACTGATGGCAGTTTGATATTGGATCAGCATTAGGCAGAACAAGAAATAGCCATGTCATAATTATGGCAGTGGAAATCCAACCTTTAAATATCCCCGGTATTCTAGTTTTATAGTTTTATGACTTAAAATTTTCTAGAGTTTAACGAAAAGGAAAAATGCTAACTTCTTAACCTTGACAGTCAAAAACAACTTATTTAGCAAAGGCTAAAATTAGGATGGTAATGAGTGGCTTTGGATTGCAAGTGGTATTACTTTAGAATAGAAGTAGGAGATTACAAAATTATGATCATGCTGGTTTACTTTCTCATATCTTCTGTACCTTAGCTCTCTTTGTTTCCACCAAAATCTTGGCATCTTTTTAAAGGCTAAATAGTAGAGAATGCTCTCTGTCGTGACTGGTTTGTGAAAATGCAGTTACACTGCCTTTCTTTGGATCTTGATTTCATGAGTTCTCTCCTGTGTTTTAGATTGTTCTTTGTTATAGAGTATGTAAATGGAGGAGACCTAATGTTTCATATGCAGCGACAAAGAAAACTTCCTGAAGAACATGCCAGGTAAGTTTTGTTTACTGTGTGTGTGTGTGTGTGTGTGTGTGTGTGTGTGTGTTTCAGGGCCATGTGGCTTCTTATGTGCAGTGGTTGGAAACAGTAGTTAAATTTATTTTGAGCCAGGCGCGGTGGCTCAAGCCTGTAATCCCAGCACTTTGGGAGGCCGAGGTGGGTGGATCACGAGGTCAAGAGATCGAGACCATCCAGGTCAACATGATGAAACCCCGTCTCTACTAAAAATACAAAAAATTAGCTGGGCATAATGGCGCGTGCCTGTAATCCCAGCTACTCGGGAGGCTGAGGCAGGAGAATTGCCTGAACCCAGGGGGCAGAGGTTGTGGTGAGCCGAGATGGCGCCATTGCACTCCAGCCTGGGTAACAAGAGCGAAAACTCCGTCTCACAAATAAATAAATAAATTAATTAATTAATTAATTAATTAATTTTGATACAAGTTAATTCTTTGTAAGTCATTCATAGGCTGACCTAAAAGTTAATTTACATTATATATGTAAAACAATTATAGTATATATTATTTTACATTTATACACACATGTCACGTACACATGCATGCACACAGTGCTTCCTAAGCCATTGAAAAATATAAACAATATTAAAAGGGAAACCTTTACTAAAACCAATCCTTTTCAAATATTTTGTGTGTTTAGCATCAGCCATTTAAATAATTGAGACTAATAAACATGTATTAGTCTTTTCAGGTTTGTAGTGGTCTCTGAGAGAGCTTTTCATTATGAGAGTGCTATTCATACATACTTGAGAGTAGTACAGACCATCTGTCTGACTGGGCATAGTGGTTCATGCCTATAATCCCAGCACTTTGGGAGGCTGAGGTGGGTGGATCACCTGAGGTCAGGAGTTTGAGACCATCTTGACTGACACGGTGAAACCCCGTCTCTACTAAAAATACAAAAATTAGCTGGGCGTGGTGGCGAGTACCTGTAATCCCAGCTACTCAGGAAGCTGAGGCAAGATAATTACTTAAATCTGGAAGGCAGAGGTTGCAGTGAGCCAAGATCGCGCCACTGCACTCCAGCCTGCCTAACAGAGCAAGGCTCTGTCTCAAAAAAAAAAAGAAAAAAGATCCCTTTTAAACTAGTATATACTTCTGACTGTTCTTCCTGTGGTTTATTGTTCTTTGGCTTTTTTTCCCTTTAATCCCATAATTATTGATAAGTAAGAGAAAAGAGTATTGAATATGAATTTTGTGCTCCTAATTTGATATTAATATATAAGATTGTAAATTATGTGTTGGAGGAGATTGGTGGGAAGGGATCAGGGTCTTGAATAAACAATTTAATCCATCAGTACCAGGTTTTGTTTTTATTCATAATCAGCAGTAATTCTCACCCTTTCCTGCTTCACAAGAGTAATACCAAAATGAAACATATGAGTTTGTATATGTTTGTAATTATCAAACAGAGAACAAATATTAGAAATTTCATTTAAATAAAAAACTTGTGGAAATTTTGCTACTTCATTATTGCTTGTGAAAAAGTGATAATATTTAATTTCATAAGAAGATATAAATTGTACTTATCTTGAGGCCAGACTGGGTTTTTTGTTTATTTGGATTTTGTTATCGTTTTGGTGTTCCTGTATGTTCATTGTGTATTCGGCTTTATCAAATGATCCACCCTTCATAGCAGAGCCACAGATGATATTTTGAATTGTGAACATAGCCAGTATTTGTTCCTTGTCTGTTCAGCTGAATGTGGGGAAGCTAGTCTGGTTTTTACTGTGTTAATGTGCCGGTTCTGGCTTTATACCACCATCTTTGCTTCTGTAAGAACTAAAGCCCAGAATTAGGGCTTAAGTTCCTGAATCACAGAATTAAGTAGCTAGAAGGTGTATGTTATATACCTCCACATGTAATTGCGATAACGTGCCACCAAAGCAGCCATACAACACCTCAGGTGTTCCATTTTCATTATTCAGGCCAAAAGTTCTGGGTTGTCACCAGTGAGTTGGTAGCAATTTTTTAAAGTTCTTTGTTTGATATTAAATTTTATAGTTGTAGAACAGTTCCATTTAATTCCTTTCCTAAAAGCTTTATGAGGATTTTATGGTGTTGAGTAGTTACCTTGTAGTAGTCTTCCTATTCTTTTTTTTTTTTTTTTTTTTTTTTTGAGACAGAGTCTTGCTCTGTTGCCAGGTACAAGACTGGAGTGCAGTGGCGTGATCTCGGCTCACTGCAACCTCAGCCTCCTGGGTTCAAGCTATTCTCCTGCCTCAGCCTCCCAAGTAGCTGGGACTACAGGCGCACACCACCATGCCCAGCTAATTTTTGTATTTTTAGTAGAGACGGGGTTTCACCATGTTGGCCAGGATGGTCTCGATGTCTTGACCTCGTGATCCTCCCACCTCGGCCTCCCAAAGTGCTGGGATTACAGGCATGAGCCACAGCGCCCGGCCTTTCTATTCTTGACCCTGTCAGTGGTTCTTAGCCTACTGGGGGGTCATGGGTCCCTTAGAGGAGGGATGAAAGCTGTGAGGACTCTGTAGATGTTGTGCATGTACATATGTGCACACACCTTTGCCCCCAGTTGTAGAAGTATGAACTGCCTGAAGTTTACCCAAGGACCCAGATTAAGAACCCCTGTTTGAGACTTTCAAATTAATAGCCTTATGAAAAATGTGAGTTTAAGTTAAACTTGTATAATTGTGTCGTGGGCTCAGATGTTTTAAAGTGGTACTTTAGTTCATTTTTTAAATTTGTTTCTAAAAATCACTGGGAGGAAAAAATATGTTTTGATATGAATTTTTATGTTTCCAGTTGCAAGTTTAGAACTTAAATATGATTGAATCAAATGATTTATTTTTTATTTTATTTTAGATTTTACTCTGCAGAAATCAGTCTAGCATTAAATTATCTTCATGAGCGAGGGATAATTTATAGAGATTTGAAATTGGACAATGTGTTACTGGACTCCGAAGGGCACATTAAACTCACTGACTATGGCATGTGTAAGGTGAGGAACACTTTCTAGTTATTTAAAAAGGTCTTCGGCAGCTAGTAGTCTTTGTAAAACAGCTTCATGTTTAAAGATGGGAAAATGATTACTAATTTTGCTAATTTATTTATGGAGCTTTGTGGAATTCTAGCACAAAGACAAATGTACTATTTTTCTAACCATTTGCAAAGTTTACATCTTCTGTGTTACGTGTACTACAGTAAGAGTTAATTTCTTTTTATTAAACATAACTTTTTATCTTGAAAGTTGTAATACAATTGAAGAAAATTTGGAAATCAAAGCTGTCTGCAATTCCACCACTTAGCACAACCATCTGCATATGGCCTTCCAATTTTTGCCATTTAGTAGTGAATCTTATATAATGCATTCAGGATTTTCCTCGGAAGTCAAACATTTTTTATATTTAAATTTTAAACACCTGACAAAGTATAATATGTAAAAAATTTTATAATAAATAAAAATATAAAGAATTTTAGTTACTCTCAGAATATGTCTTCTTTTTTTCTTGATGTTTTATTCTTTTTATAATAGTGTTCCATTTTAAAGGTCTGGTATTTTCCCACAAAATGTGTAAGGAACTACTCCTTTTTAAAGTAACTGGTACAAAATTATCCTCACATAGTAATACAACCACCAGTATGTAAATGTGTGAATTGCATTCCCTGTTCACCTGTGGGAAGTGCCTCCAGAGCCTGGAGATTATCTAATGCTAACATGGTATATGACAGCCTAATTGTATTTAAGATTTAACTTTTAACTTTATTATCTGTTCAGCATGCATTACAGAGTAACATCTTCACATAAACTATGCTTGCTTTTATGTACTGAGTTCAAACATATTTTTCACATGATACTTATTAGTTAATTAATTTTTTTTGAGGCAGAGTCTTGCTCTGTCACCCAGGTTGTAGTACAGTGGCATGATCTTGGCTCACTGCGACTTCTGCCTCCTGGGTTCAAGCCATTCTGTTGCCTCAGCCTTCCAAGTAGCTGGAATTAAGGTGTGCCCCACCATGCCCGGCTAATTTTAATTTGTTTTTTTTTTTTTTTTTTTTTTTTTTTTGAGACAGAGTTTTGCTCTTGTTGTCCATGCTGGAGTGCAATGGCATAATCTTGGCTCACTGCGACCTTTGCCTCCCAGGTTCAAGGGATTCTCCTGCCTCAGCCTCCCAAGTAGCTGGGATTATAGGTGCCCACCATCACTCCCAGCTAATTTTTTTGTATTTTTAGTAGAGATGGGGTTTTATCATGTTGGCCAAGGCTGGTCTTAAACTCCTGACCTCAGGTGATCCACCCACCTCGGCCTCCCAAAGTGTTGGGATTACAGGTGTGAGGCACCGTGCCCAGCCCTTACATATTTTTATTATACAAGTTTTCAATCATAAACAATTAGAACACTTATTGAGTGGAACCCCTGTGTACCTATCACTTATATTTGTGGTTCCTTTTTGATATCTGTGTCATTTTTTTTTCCTAAGGGATTTTTTTTTTCTCATTTCGAAAAATAGTAACAGTGATAAAGGAGCCTTGTCCCCAAGAATAAATGAAATTGAACAAAAATGTGGAGAGGATTAACCTTAATACGAAGTGCACAAAGTAAAACAAGGAGACCTTTTTTTTTTTTTTTTTGCCTGTGAGATACTGGTTTTAAAATCAGAATAATTTGTATGTTTAAAGAAATGGGCATATGTCACTGGTGTGTACATAAATTGTTACAATATTTTGAAAGCAGTTTAATGAGCAATTATCAAGAATTCTAGAGATGGCCACATTCTTTGGTCCAGTAACTCTGTCTCTTGGATATTCTGAGTAAATATTTTGGTTTATGAAGAGAGATTTCTGTCCAAAACTTTTATTGTAGTTTATGATAAATATTATAAAGTCATTTAAGAATATCTTTTTATTTTTACTTTTTTTTTTTAAATAGAGATGAGGTCTCACTGTGTTGTCCAGGCTGGTCTCAAAACCAAGATTTTATGTTAGCATTTAGATAATCTCCAGGCTCTGGAGGCACTCTCCTCAGGTGAATGGGGCATGCAATCCCACATTTACATATTTGTCATCGTGTTACTATGTGAGGATAATTTTGTACCAATTACCTTAACAGGTAAAGCAAGCCACCATGCCCGGCTGAAGATATTTATAAAAAATGCATAACACGTGACGGCTCACACCTGTAATCCCAGCACTTTGGGAGGCCAAGGCAGGCAGATCACTGGAGCTCAGGAGTTTGAAAACAACATGACCAAACTCCATCTCTACAAAAAAATAGAAAAATTAGACTGGCTTGGTTGTGCTTGTCCCAGCTACTTGGGAGGCTGAGATGGGGGGATCCCTTAAGCCTGGGAGATTGGGAGATTAGGAGATTGAGGCTATAGTGAGCTGTGATCATGCCACTGCACTCCAGCCTGGGTGATAAAGTGAGACCCTGTCTCAAAGGAAAAAAAAAAGACTGGGCTCAATGGCTCACACCTGTAATCCCCAGCACTTTCAGAGGCCATGGTGGGCGGATCATGAGGTCAGGAGTTCAAGAACAGCCTAACCAACATGGTGAAACCCGGTCTCTACTAAAAATACAAAAATTAGCCAGGTGTGGTGGCGCACTCCTTTAATCCCAGCTACTTGGGAGGCTGAGGCAGGAGAATCGGTTGAACCCGGGAGGTAGAGGTTGCAGTGAGCCGAGATCACCTCACTACACTCCAGGCTGGCAACAGTTTGAGACTTCATTCCCCCCCACAAAAAAGAGATTTGAACAAAAGGTGGAGCTAAAATATATATATTATATACATATATATTGTATTATGTGGCATCACACATTGATTTTACTTTTCCATATTTTTCTTTTTTCTTTTTTTTTTTTTGAGACAGAGTTTCGCTTTTGTTACCCAGGCTGGAGTGCAATGGCGCAATCTCGGCTCACTGCAACCTCCGCCTCCTGGGTTCAGGCAATTCTCCTGCCTCAGCCTCCTGAGTAGCTGGGATTACAGGCACGCGCCACCGTGCCCAGCTAATTTTTTGTATTTTTAGTAGAGACGGGCTTTCACTGTGTTGACCAGGATGGTCTCAATCTCTTGACCTCGTGATCCACCCGCCTCGGCCTCCCAAAGTGCTGGGATTACAGGCTTGAGCCACCGCGCCTGGACTTACTCTTCCATATTTTTCAAGTTATTTTAAAATGTTATGTTAAATGTGGTTGCCAGTTGCATTACAGTACACAAATGCATTTTGATAACATTTTAAAATGTTATTTTTAAATGATACCTTTAAAAATAATGGAATCATTTAATTATTTAAACAATGAAAATAGGAGGGCATGGTGGCTCACACCTGTAATCCCAGCACTTTGGGAGGCCCAGGCAGGCAGATCACTTGAGGTCAGGAGTTTGAGACCAGCATGGTCAACATGGTGAAATCCCATCTCTACTAAAAACACCAAAAAATTAGCTGGGCGTGGTGGCGCACCTGTGATCTCAGCTACTCAGGAGACTAAGGCAGGAGAATGGCTTGAACGCAGGAGGTGGAGGTTTCAGTGAGCAGAGATTGTGCCTGTCACTGCACTCTAGCCTGGGCAGCAAAGTGAGACTGTGTCTCAAAACAAACAAAACAATGAAAATATAATCACAAAAATGAGTTAAGACTTTCTTCTCTTTTTGTCTTTCTTAGTCTTTTGTTATTGTTACTGAAAAATAATACTGGCTTGTTAAACATTTTCATTTCTTACAGGGATCTTCAATCAAGTTAGTTATATATATTATATAACTGTATATATTAGAACTATATATATAATATATAGTTATATGTAACTATAATATATAGCTATTATATATAATGCATATATGTGTGTGTGTGTGTGTGTGTGTGTGTGTGTGTGTATGTATATATATTAGCTGTAGCTTTTGTCCAAATCTTTCTCTGCCTACTGGTTTTCAGTATGTGTGGTCTGTCATTTTCTAATACAGATTATCCTCATACTAACTTCTCCTATCATGATTGGAGATTGTGAAATTCTAATAATTTTGTCCTTGTTTACTCTTTGTATTTTGAGGCCATGTTGTTAAGTGTATGCAAATTTGTATTTGTTACAACTTGTTGGTGATTGCCCCATTAATTACTGGGTAGTTCCTTTACCTGTTAGTGTGTTTTGCCTTAATTTTTTTCCATCCTGTAGCTATTAAAATACAGGCTGTGCTTGGTGTCTCATGCCTGTAATCCCAGCACTTTGGGAGGCCAAGGTGGGTGGATCACTTGAGGCCAGGAATTCGAGACCAGCCTGGCCAACATGGAGAAACCCCATCTCTACAAAAAATACAAAATTAGCCAGGCATAGTAGTGCATTCCAGCTACTTGGGAGGCTGAGGCAGGAGAATCGCTTGAACCCTGAAGGCAGAGTTTGCAGTAAGCTGAGATCATGCCATTGCACTCCAGCCTGGGCAACAAGAGTGAGCTCCGTCTCAAAAAAACAAAAACAAAAAAAAACATCTTAGGAAAATAAACAGAAGGAAAATATTGTAGTCTTAACAGTGATTGTATTAGGAGGTGAGATTTAAAGTGTTTCTTTTCGTCAAGAAATATGCCTTATTCTACTAATATCATTAAATTTTTTGTATTAAATTTTAACTTGTATGTAAGTTATTTTAAATGCAAGTCTTACCTTAATTGAATCAATGCTATCAATATCTTTTTTTTGAGACGGAGTTTCACTCTCGTTACCCAGGCTGGAGTGCAATGGCGCGATCTCGGCTCACCGCAACCTCCGCCTCCTGGGTTCAGGCAATTCTTCTGCCTCAGCCTCCCGAGTAGCTGGGATTACAGGCATGCGCCACCATGCCCAACTAATTTTTTGTATTTGTAGTAGAGACAGGGTTTCACCATATTGACCAGGATGGTCTTGATCTCTTGACCTTGTGATCCACCTGCCTCGGCCTCCCAAAGTGCTGGGATTACAGGCTTGAGCCACCGCGCCCGGCCCAATGCTATTAATATTTAACAAGGACAGGTCTTTAAGCTATTTAGTAGTGATCTGTGATTTTAATAATAAAGGCAATTGCCAGGCATGATGGCTCACGCCTGTAATCCCAGCACTTTGAGAGGCTGAGGTGGGTGGATCACTTGAGGCCAGGAGTTTGAGACCAGACTAGCCAACATGGTGAAATTCCGTCTCTACTAAAAATACAAAAATTAGCTGGGCATGTTGGTGCACGCCTATAATTCCAACTCCTCAGGAGGCTGAGGCACAAGAATTGCTTGAACCTGGGAGGTGGAGATTGCAGTGAGCTGAGATCATGCCGCTGCATACCAGCCTGGGCAACAGAGCAAGACCCTGTCCAAAAAAAAGCAATTGTTTTGGTGATGTTAAGTAAATTTAATGTATCACTACTGATGCTGAACTTACAGATGAAATAGAAAGGGTGAATTTAAAACAGAATTTTTAATCTTATTCTTTTTTTTTCTTTTTAATAAAAGGAAGGATTACGGCCAGGAGATACAACCAGCACTTTCTGTGGTACTCCTAATTACATTGCTCCTGAAATTTTAAGAGGAGAAGATTATGGTAATAAATAAATTGGTGGTATTATTTTAGCTATTGCTAGATGGGTGGTTAAATGTGGTACCAATTGCATTATAGTACACTAATGCATTTAGATATGATCTTATTCATATAAGCATTCTTGACCATGTTCTGAAGATCTCCAGACTTTAAAATCAGAGACACTGGGACCATGGCAGTATTTAGGGATACCAAGCTGAATAATAGTTTATTAGTAACAAACACCAAACAGTAGCAGGCACTATTCTAAGCAGTTTACATATATTAACTAAGTTAATCCTCTTAACCCTATGAGGTAAATACTGTGAATTCTCCTTTTACAGATGAGGAAACTGACATACAGAAAGTTTAAATAACTCCCCTAAAGTCAAGGATTCAGAACAGCACCCATGTGACTCCAGAGTCATGAACCCCTGGAAGATTGTTCAGATTTCCTGGGATATTTCCCCCTTGGAATCTGAAAGATGGTGGGAAGATTAACTGTATCTCAGGCATCTGAAGATGTACTTATCTTGAGAAAGCATTTGACTTTCTGGGTTCTGGCCGTCTGCCTTGAGCAGCTGTAAAGGAGAACGTGGCACTGTGAAAGCTGCTCGCTGAATCCACTGTCCTTCACAGGTCTTCATCAGCTAGCAAAAGATCAAGCTTAAGACCAAGGACATTACTCTCAAATACAATCTAATTTTATCCTCAGCACACCATATTCAATACTGGGCGTGAGTCTGAAAGTAGACATACATGGAAAAACCAAGTGTTTTTTCCTCACAATTTTATTTTTAAAATTATCTTTTAGGTACCTGCCCTTGTTAGTAAATGAAGCATTGCTATAGTCTTCAGCACCTACCATGATAGTTGTAATGCATTTAGAGTTTACCTTTTCATTGTTTCTTCTTCCTTTATGTGATAAAATCTCCAGTTACTACCTTTCAGGAATGCAAAGTATATAATTTATTGCTTTAAAATGTCTTTCTGAAGGTTTCAGTGTTGACTGGTGGGCTCTTGGAGTGCTAATGTTTGAGATGATGGCAGGAAGGTCTCCATTTGATATTGTTGGGAGCTCTGATAACCCTGACCAGAACACAGAGGATTACCTCTTCCAAGGTATTTTGGAGTATTTTACAGATATTCTCTGAGAAAAACATATTTTAGAGTACACATGAGAGTGATTCAGATTACTTCTTTGAGTAAGAAAAATGAGCATAATCTGGAAAGTATACTCCTGACTAAATTTATTAAGTTTTGTTGTTGTTTGTTTTTGCAACAGAGTCTCACTCTTTAGCCCAGGCTGGAGTGCAGTGGCACAATCTTGGTTCACTGCAACCTCCGCCTCCCGGGTTCAAGCGATTCTTCTGTCGGAGCCTCCTGAGTAGCTGGGATGACAGGCACGCACCACTACACCCAGCCTATTTTTGTATTTTTAGTAGAGACGGGGTCTCACCATGTTGGCCAGGCTGGTCTTGAATGCCTGACTTCAAGCGATCCAGCTGCCTCAGCCTCCCCAAAGTGCTGGGATTACAGGCATGAGCCACCGTGCCCGGCCTCCATGTATTAGGTTTTGATGTTTTTAAACACATTCTTTCTTCTCTATAGTCTTCACTCCTGTTCGCAGTTACCTTCTCATATTCAAAATCATAATAGGCGTTATTTAGAATTATCCATCACAAACAGATTTGAGAAAGGAATCCTGTGGCTAGAGAGGATAATCTTTACACAGGGACCCTGAGGCTGAATGCATAAGTTCAAGACAGTATGAGGGAAAATTAGAGTACCAAGATGATGAGTGATCAGAAGATGGGAGGAAAAGGCCCCACATCAGGGAATAAGAAGAATCGACAGGTTGAGTGCGGTGGCTCACGCCTGTAATCCCAGCACTTTGGGAGGCCGAAGCAGGTGGATCACCTGAGGTTGGGAGTTCAAGACCAGCCTAACCAACATAGTGAAACCCCATCTCTACTAAAAATACAAAATTAGCCAGGTGTGGTGGTGCATGCCTATAATAACAGCTACCTGAGAGGCTGAAGCAAGAGAATTGCTTGAACCTAGGAGGCAGAGGTTGCAGTGAGCTGAAATCACACCATTGCACTCCAGCCTGGACAACAAGAACAAAACTCTGTCTCAAAAAAAAAAAAAAAAAAAAAGTAAAGATTACAGCCAGGCTCAGTGGCTCACGCCTGTAATTCCAAAGCTTTGGGAGGCAAAGGTGGGTGGATCACTTGAGGTCAGGAGTTTGAGACCAGCCTGACCAACATGGCAAAACTATGTCTCTACTAGAAATACAAAAAAATTAGCTAGGTGTCCTGGCGAGTGCCTACAATCCCACCTACTCAGGAGGCTGAGGCAGGAGAATAACTTGAGCCTGGGAGGTGGAGATTACAGTGAGCCGAGATCGCTCCACTGCATACCAGCCTGGGTGAGACAGAGAGACTCCCTCTCCAAAACAAAAAAAGAAAGAAAAGAAATGTAAAGATTGCCAGGAACAGTTGTTCACACCTGTAATCTCAGCACTTTGTGGGGGCCAAGGCAGGAGGATTGCTTGAGCCCAGGGGTCAAGACCAGCCTGAGCAACATTGTGAGACCCTCGTCTCTACCAAAAAAAAAAAATTTTTAATTAGCCAGGCATTGCTGGATGCAGTGGCTCACACCTATAATCCCAGCATTTTGGGAGGCTGAGATGGGTGAATCACTGACCTCTATGAGATCCAGAGTTTGAGACCAGCCCAGCCAGCATGGTGAAACCCCATCTCTACCAAAAACACTAAATTCACTGGGCATAGTGGCACACGCTTGTAATCTCAGCTGCTCAGGAGTCTGAAGTAGTAGAATTGCTTGAACCAGGGAGGCAGAGGTTGCAATGAGCTGAGATCTTGCCACTGTACTCCAGCCTAGGTGACAGAACCAAGACTCTGTCTCAAAAAAAAAAATTAGCTGAGGCTGGGCACGGTGGCTCACACCTATAATCCCAGCGCTTTGGGAGGCCGAGGTGGGTGGATCACGAGGTCAAGAGATCGAGACCATCCTGGTCAACAAGGTGAAACCCCGTCTCTACTAAAAATACAAAAATTAGCTGGGCATGGTGGTGCATGCCTATAGTCCCAGCTACTCAGGAGGGTGAGGCAGGAGAATTGCTTGAACCCAGAAGGCGGAGGTTGCGGTGAGCCGAGATTGTGTCATTGCACTCCAGTCTGGGTAACAACAGCGAAACTCCGTTTCAAAAAAAAAAAAAAAAGTTAGCCGAACATGATGGTGGCGTGTGGCGCCTGTGGTCCCAGCTACTTGGGAGGCTGAAGGGGAAGGATTGCTTAAGCCCGGAGATCAAGGCTGCAGTGAGCTGTGATCACACCACTGCACTCCAGCCTGGGCAACAGAGTGAGACTTTTTCTAAAAAAAAGAATTAGAAAAAAGATTAAAGCCATGTAAAAATTAAATATAATACTATAATTTTTGTCTTTCTAGTTATTTTGGAAAAACAAATTCGCATACCACGGTCTCTGTCTGTAAAAGCTGCAAGTGTTCTGAAGAGTTTTCTTAACAAGGTATAAATTGTGTTTAAGAACATTTTGTGATTTGTCTCTGTCTATATATATCAAACTGGTCAGGAACTGTTTGGGAAGTGTAAAATTTCAAAACAGTAGAGAATGTAACTTTTTCTGTTTGATCCAGAATTTGTATCTTACCCAAAGAGTAATTGACAGCATTAGATCCTGAGATAAGTTAGTTGTCCTTTCCATTTTGGCAATAAAATTTACTCCCCAGCTATATATTACATATGATTCTTTTGTGTGTAAATAATATATACCATATTCTCACATAGGGGAAGTTTTAATCTTTGGGTTTAGCCATAATTGTACTTTCAACTCTGTTTCCATTTTCTCTGTGTCATCCAGAGACTCTATTTATTACATGTACTTTTTGAGCACTTTGGCCATAGTGCTCCCTACAAATTCTCATGTCACAAATGCTATAATTAGATAAAATTCAGAAGAAATGAAATTCTGTCTTCAGCTCTTAAAAATGTGAACATCTTTCCATTGTGTGTTGGTTTGTTGCTGTTGGTAGGCTAGAGGAGTTTTAGGGTTTAAGAGTCTTGGCAATCGTAAACTCTGCTCTGAATAAATGGTATGATAGGTTGATGTAGGCCAAGCACAGTGGCTCACGCCTGTAATCCCAGCACTTTGGGAGGCCGAGGTGGGTGGATTGCCTAAGGTCAGGAGTTCTAGACCAGTCTGGCCAACATGGTGAAACCCTGTCTCTACTAAAAATGCAAAAGAATTAGCTGGGTGTGGTGGCGTGCACCTGTAATCCCAGCTACTTGGGAGGCTGAGGCAGGGGAATTGCTTGAACCAGGGAGGTGGAGGTTGCAGTGAGCCAAGATCTTCCCACTGCACTCCAGCCTGGGTGACAGACTCCATCTCAAAAAAAAAAAGAAGGTTGATATACATTTACCTTCCAAGGTAAATAGATAAGATAATGATGAATTTTAATAAAATAAGAAATTGAACCCTTTTAAAAAATCAACAATTTGTGAGGAAAGATTTAAACTTGAAACCTAATTTTTCACATAGTGAAAAATGAAGGCAAGAGGTGTCGATATGCAAAATAAAATGCTGTTTATCAGAAAGAAAAATGGGAACATATTCATAGTAATGAATAAGCCAAGACTTTTTTTTTTAAATTTATTTATTTTTTAAAGACGGGATTACACCATGTTGGTCAGGCTGGCCTTGAACTCCTGACCTCAGGTGATCCGCCCGCCTTGGCCTCCAAAGTGCTTGGATTGCAGGCGTGAGCCACCACGCCCGACCAAGCCAAGACTTTTTATGAGTTGCAGTCTCCTTCTCAGTCCAGTGATTCAGATAATGGTTGTATCATTGTCTTACACGGATTATGGTTTGTTGCTGTAACTGGGCGTGGACCTTTTAAACTCAGCTGTAAACAAACTTCTGAAGAAGTTTGGAGGTTTACGTGTTTTGACTGTCACTCCAGGTCATGCCAAAGAAACGGCTGGGTGCTGCTCAAATGATTCTGCTGTTCTCTTTTTCCTCCTGTTTTTCTTTAGCAAGGAAATGATGATGATTCGCTGTTTTAATTTCATGATAGGTGAAGAAAGTGACATGAGGAAATCTTACCCATCACAAGCTTCAAATAACTCAATTTGTTCTAGTGTTGTAATTTCTATAAATAAAATGTAGACCATTCCAACTTCAGAAATAAGAGTATCATGTAATAGGCACAAAACACAGAACACAAACATGATTTATTTTAAAATATTACATTCACCCAATTCTCGAAACATTTCTTTTACCATAGGACCCAAAAGAACGATTGGGTTGTCATCCTCAAACAGGATTTGCTGATATTCAGGGACACCCATTCTTCCGAAATGTTGATTGGGATATGGTATGTAAATTTTAATTACTTTCTCTATTAGATTAGGTTTCATTATTATCTTCGACCAATTTTTTTTTTTTTTGGAGTCAGAGTCTCGCTCTGTCACCCAGGCTGGAGTGCAGTGGCGTGATCTCAGCTCACTACAACCTCCGCCTCCTAGGTTCAAGTGATTTTCCTGTCTCAGCCTCTAGAGTAGCTGGGACTACAGGTGTGTACCACCACGCCCAGCTAATTTTTGTATTTTTGGTAGAGACAGGGTTTCACCATATTGGCCAGGCTGTTCTTGAACGCCTGACCTCAAGTGATCCTCCTGCCCCAGTCTCCCAAGGTTTGCAGGGGTGAGCCATGATGCCTGGCCAAAAAATTGAACATTAATGTAATAAAGCAGGTTATAATGTTACTGAGACCCATATCAATGTTTATGTTTGTTTTTATTTTTATTTTTATTTTTATTAAGAGACAATCTTACTCTGTCACCCAGGCTATAGTGTAGCTCACTACAGCCTTGACTGAACTCCTGGGCTCAAGCAGTCCTTCTGCCTTAGCCTCCCAAGTAGCTGGGACTATAGGCATAAGCCATGGTGCCTGCTAATTTTTATTTTTATTTATTTATTTTTTTTGAGATGGAGTTTTGCTCTGTTGTCCAGGCTGGAGTATAGTGGCATGATCTCGGCTCACTGCAACCTCCACCTCCTGGGTTCATGCGATTTTCCTGTCTCTGCCTCCTGAGTAGCTGGGATTACAGGCAGGCGCCACCACGCCTGGCAGATTTTTGTATTTTTAGCAGAGACAGGGTTTTGCTATGTTGGTCAAGCTGGTCTTGAACTCCTGACCTCAGGTGATCTGCCCACCTTGGCTTCCCAAAGTAGTAGGATTACAGGCATGAGCCACTGTGCCCAGCCAATTTTTAACTTTTTATAGAGACGGGGGTCTTGCTATGTTGCCTGGCTGATCTTGAACTCCTGGCCTCAGTCGATCCTCCCATCTCAGCCTACCAAGTTCTTGGGATTACAGGCATGAGCTGCCAAGCCTGGCTCACATTTGCAAATTATGTTCATCATCGCTAATATCATTGAACCATGCCTCAGGGCTCACTTTAATAAGGGAAACAAACAGTGAGGGCAGAGGAGAACTGTAGAGGTGAAATTTTTCTAAGAATACACACTTGAGCTGTCATCCAGTGTCTTTTCAGATGGAGCAAAAGCAGGTGGTACCTCCCTTTAAACCAAACATTTCTGGGGAATTTGGTTTGGACAACTTTGATTCTCAGTTTACTAATGAACCTGTCCAGCTCACTCCAGATGATGAGTAAGTAATTCTGTACACTGAAACATTTTTTTAAGTTCTTTAGAAACCCTGTTTTTAGTGACTATGCAGTTTCATCAGATTATACTATAATTAATTTAATTTAATTTAATTTTGAGATGGACTCTCGCTCTATTGCCCAGGCTGAAGTGCAGTGGCACCGTCTCAGCTCACTGCAACCTCCACTTCCCAGATTCAGTAGAGGCAGGGTTTTGCCATGTTGGCCAGACTGGTCTCAAACTCCTGACCTCAGGTGATCCGCCTGCCTTGGCTTCCCAGAGTGCTGGGATTACCAGCATGAGCCACTGTGCCTGGCCTATGCTATAATTTTTTTTTCTTTTTTTTTTTTTTGTTTGTATATACTATAATTTATATAACCATTCGGTTACTGGTATTTGAATCCATTATACCATTATAAGTTTTAAGAGTAACGGTCATTTTCTCCTTTGCTTTACCATGTATTATCTCTCATTTTTGCAACAACTTTGTAAACTAGTTATTATCATCTTCGTTTTACAGATGAGGAAACCGAGGCTCAGAGAGGTTAAGCAAAGTTACACAACTATCAGGTGGCAGAGTCAGGATTCAAACCCAAATCTGACTGACTAAGGCCTGTGCCCTTTCTGCTGTGCTGCACTGTTTCACATTTGATGAGGACTGTCTTGGTCTGAGTTCCTGAGTATTGCCTTAAGATAGATTCCTAGAAAGGGAATTAGGTCAGAGAGTACGAACATTTTAAGGCTCTTGATATGTATTGACAAATTGCTTTTTTTTTTTTTTTTTTTTTAAAGAAATTACGTTGAGTTATTAAATCCAACCAGCAGTGATCTGAAATATTTTTTGTGCTTATGCTGCATCTTTTAAAACTATAGTTTAGAATAATTAGGGGATATTTTGATTATTTACCTGTTAACAGATTCATTCTCTCTAATCTCAAGAAGGCCCTTATTGTTTGGCAGTTTGGCAGTCCTTTTACTTCTATCTTATTTCTTACCACATTCCTTCCAGTGCCTGCTCCAAGTAGCCTCTGCATTTCAGGAGCCTTAGGTTCTACTCCTTTCTCCATCACTGCTAATGGATTAACCTTGCCTTAATTTGATGCAAGGACTGATAACCTCTCTGGGGTGACCTTGCATCCTTTCCAGCTGTCCCCAGACCACCTTGCATCTCAGAATTGCTTTCTGACTCTTCTCAACATTTTCTCATTCCCTACTCATGGAAGGCTCTCCTTTATAAGGGGTGTTCCTTCTGTTTTCCTAGACCTGTTTCCTTAGTTTTCTCCAAGATTTTATTTTGTCAGTTATCTTGTTACTGGACTTTCTTTGATTTAATTTTTTCTAGTTTGCTTCCCTCTGTGCAACCATGCTCAGATACTCTGATTTTTCTCCCTAACTCATAATCCCTCTTTGCATAACCACATTTTTCCTCATTTTCATTTCATCTTTAAGCCTCAAAAAAAAAAAAAGTTAACAGATGCTCATGGTAAAAGAAAAATAAATACAAAGCACTTCTAATCAAACTTCTTCATACTAGTGAACGTTGATTGTCTCAAATTTTTTTTTGCTGCCAACACTTCAACCCCTTACAGCTCATCCTGTCCTCCAGCTGTTGAAGGTTGAATCAGCTTCTTAATTTCTAAATTGTAAAGCATTTGGGGTCAGTCCTCACCTCCCTTGATGTCTGTAAAGCATTTGGTACTCACGGCTTTGCCTTGGGTGGCTCTGCCTGTCCTGATTCTGTTTCATCTCTGTGACCACTTTTCTCTCATGTGTTTCCCCTGTCCCCTTGAGACCAGGGTGCTCCCTGATTCTGTTCATGACAACCTTCTCTTTGCTATATGCAGTTTGTACCTTGGAGGTTTCAGCCAGCCCTGTAGCATAGATACCAGCTAATTAAATGACTCTCTGTTAAATGCAAATGGTTATTGAGCAAAAGGCATCAATCATGCTAAATACTAGACAGTCAAAGGCAATCGAGACAGTCTGATCTCCCCAAAAGCATACCATCTACTAGAGGAGAAAGATGTATACCAGATCATTCTCTCTAACAGCATCATGTATTAGAAGGAACACTGGATGTAATCAAAAGATAGGAGTTTGAATCCCGATGCCACCTCTTACCAACTGGGTAACCTTGGATAGGACTTGCATAACTTCTCTGAGCCTGTTCTTGAATTGCCTACCTCATACGGTTGCTGTGAAGAATAAATGCATGATGGTTTCTGAAACACTTAGCCCCTGCCCTGATAGATCTCCTGAGCTGCGTTTCTGTTTGTTTAACATGTCCCCCAGTTTGTCAGCCAAGCAGCTCAAATATATGAAGTCTAAAATCCAAGTAATGACCCTTTTTGGTCTCTTTCTATTGTTCTCAACCAGTTCCTTCTTTTTCGTTGCTTTTTCTGCTTACCGTGCCACGATGTGTTCCTGTCGTTCAGATCCCAAACGTCAGTGACTGTGGACTCCTCCTTTTTCTTAACAGATTACATAAGACCTGTGGTAGCCAAGTCTTTGTTTATGTTTTCATTATATCATCATTTACATCAGATCCTTCTTTTCTTTTCCCGTTGACACACCCTAGTTCAGGCCTCATTCAAGTCATACCTGGAGTATTGTATCAGCCTCCTAAGTGATCTTTACTCCTTCACTTTGCAACCTCTTCTGTATGCCTTGTGAAGTATCACTCCAATTCTTGAACCCCTTTAATCAGAAAACTTCAATAACTCCTTCATTGACTCTCAGGTAACATCTGTCCTCTTGGCTAGCATTTAAGGCCTCCCTACATCTGCTCCAGCCTGACTTTCTAGCGATAGCTCTCACCATAATGCTGTTCTGATCAGTCTTAGCTACTCACCATTCCCTAATAGTATTATTATCTGTGCCTCTGCCTGCTCATTCCTCTATATCCCTCCTTCATTTTTACCTATTGAAATCTTCCCATCTTTCAGAATCCCCTCAGATGCAACCAGATCTTTGATTGATCAAGGTGAACTCAGTGTAAACATCACCAGCTTCTTGATTTAGCCATTATTTTTCTTCCAGCGTCATCTGCCGTCTAACACACTTCTATTCCTGTGCTCCACCCAAATAAATGCATTTCCCCAGACCTACCACAGTCTTTCATCATTCCATTCATTAAGTGTTTGCAGAATGAATACTGCCTTCCTTGATTTCTCCAACTAGAATCTAGCCCCTTTCTTTAGAACTGTGGTTAGAACGGGACTTAGCTTATTAAGAATAAAATTTAACAAGTACTGCTTTCTCTTCTAATATGAGTTACTTCCCCTCATGTATCCTCTGTAACTTTGTGCTTCTTAGTATGGTGTATACATTTATGTATTAAATATTTGATAGTACTACTCACTCTTACTGTGTGTTGAACTAGAAGCCCAGTGTAACAAAATGCCAACCTCTCCACTCTCTGACCCATGACCTCCCTGTGGTGTTCTCTCCTTATTCCAGGTCTCTCAGTGTACTTGTTCCTATTGCCTTTTCCTTTTGGCTAACTTCTGGGCTTCACCGTCTAACATCTGGCTGTTGAGATGACTGCTAAATTGAATGCTAATTCAAACTCGGATGTTCACCTATAACTAAGAATGTTGTTCTGGTCAAAAGTTAAGATTAACTGGAATTGGGGCAACTTGTGCCTTTTTTTTTTTATAATAATGCTTCACGAATTTGTGTGTCATCCTTTCGCAGGGGCCATGCTAATCTCTGTATCGTTCCAATCTTAGTACATGTGCTGCCGAAGTGAGCACAACTCGTGCCTTTATTTACAGTCCTCAGCTCTGAACACCTTGTCTCTAAACATGCTTGTGGGATTATAGGGTTTTTTTTTTTTAATTTGCAGTACTCCATTCTTGATTTGTCTAGAAAATTGGGGGGATTAATCTAAGAATTTACAGGTTTTTTTTTTAGTACAGTTAGCCTAATTATTTATTTTTTAATCTTATTTTACCATTTAAAGGTTGAAGAAATCTTGATTATGATGAAAATAAATTTATTTTTCTTTCAACAGCGACATTGTGAGGAAGATTGATCAGTCTGAATTTGAAGGTTTTGAGTATATCAATCCTCTTTTGATGTCTGCAGAAGAATGTGTCTGATCCTCATTTTTCAACCACATATTCTACTCATGTTGCCATTTAATGCATGGATAACTTTGCTACCAGCCTGGATACAATTAACCGTTTTACATTTGCCACCTACAAAAAAAAACACTCAGTGTCTTCTCTCATAGAGTATATGAATCAATTACATCTGTTTTACTATGAAGAAAATTAAAACTAGCTTTCAGACAATCATGTCAAAATTTAGTTGAACTGGTTTTTCAGTTTTTAAAAGGCCTACAGATAAGTAATGAAATCTTTTTTTTTTTTTTTTTAAAAAAAAAAAAAGAAAAAGAAAACCACTGCATTTAAAACTAAAGGATCTGTTGCATTAAGGCACATAGTGGGATCACATCATAAACCTCCCATGATTTTTTGTCATTCTGTGTTAAGTCATTTCCGGGATTAATTTTGAAATAAATTATTAATATAAAATGCAACAACTTTTTTATTACCTATTACTTTTGGAGTTCTTTATGTTTAAAAATTCAGGTGTAAACTTTAACAAGTACTGCTTTGCCTTGGATAAATAATCAATTTTTTAAGGCAGCAGTTATTAAATTGGTAATAGAATATGCTGCTTGCTTAGAATTGGGAAATTCAGCTGGGTGCAGTGGCTCATGCCTGTAATCTCAGCACTTTGAGAGGCTGAGGCAGGCGGATCACTTGAGGTCAGGAGCTCAAGACTGGCCTGGCCAACATGGTGAAATCCTGTCTCTACTAAAAATACAAAAATTAGCTGGGCATGGTGGCACATGCTTGTATTCCCAGCTACCCAGGAGGCTGAAGCAGGAAAATCACTTGAACCCAGGAGATGGAATTTGCAGTGAGCCAAGATTAATTACTCCAGCCTGGGCGACAGAGTGAGTGAGATTTGGTCTCAAAAAAAAAAGAATTGGGAAATTCTTGAATTAAAAAACAGACACTTTTTATTATGAATCAGATTCCAAATCATTAACTGTTTTTGCAAAACTGGCACAAGTAATTTTTTTTTCTTTTTTTTTTAATATATTAATGGGATAGCTCCTGAACCTGTCCCTTTATTGAAAACATTAACTGGAATGTTAATATATATACTGCAAAAGACCAAGGATGCAGTTGAATGGAAAATTACTCAGTATATAGAAAGGAAAAAAACCAGAAGTTTAAAATAGATACAGAAAAGTACAGTGGTAATATTTTTATTTCCTATTGGAGAGTGAATCCCCACAGTTGCTTTTTGTGACTTGATTTAAAAGAGGTACTTACTCATTATCATTACTGAACTTGTAAGAGCATTCCATGTATTCAGTGGAGGCAGAATGTATAATATTTTTTCCTTATAATTTAGTTTATAGGCCGGGCGCGGTGGCTCAAGCCTATAATCCCAGCACTTTGGGAGGCTGAGGCGGGTGGATCACGAGGTCAAGAGATCGAGACCATCCTGGTCAATGAAGTGAAACCCCGTCTCTACTAAAAATACAAAAAAAAATTATCTGGGCATGGTGGCACGTGCCTGTAATCCCAGCTACTCGGGAGGGTGAGGCAGGAGAATTGCTTGAACCCAGAAGGCGGAGGTTGCAGCGAGCCGAGATTGTGCCATTGCACTCCAGTCTGGGTAACAACAGTGAAACTCCATCTCAAAAAAAAAAAAAAAACTTAGTTTATAGGAAAATTATTTATTTTTTAAGTAGGGTATCTTAATTATGCTCATTTCTTCCCCTAAACCACATTGTCTATATGATTGGACCCTGTTTTATAGAGTATTTGTGAAATCAGAAAAGTAGGCATGAATAAATGTTCAGGACACATATATACACTCACACACATCACAGTTTCAGCTCTTTAAGTGAGTTTGTATTAACTGGTAACACATGTAACACAGAATACATTTCAGAGGCCGAGTTCTTCGGATTATTTTTTATTAATATTAGTGTTTAGCAGTTTATTATTTAAAGGGGTGCCAAATATTGCATCCTTGTGTTGTTTATTTTAAATATTTTTTTAATGAAAAGGGACTTAACCATGATCATCTAAATTACTTAAAATTTTTTAATCTTAGTAAAGCTTAATTTTAGGAAAGTTACCTAGTTTAAATTTCAAATGTTTTAAAATTTGTAGGCATTTAATAAATTATCTTTTCTTGGGGCGGTGGATGCTACATTTCACTGGAAATGTCATTTTTCCAAAGTTTCCAGCTATGTACTCTCTTTCCTTCAAATAACTTAAGTCTGCAAGCAATGAAAACCTCAAAGGAAAAGGTTCATATGCGTCCACATTGACTTAATATTTCAGGTTTCTCTGAACACCTGAGACTTGTTTTAAGACAAAAAGCAGTCTTCACTTCAAATCCTAAACTTGGAATTCTGTATTTCATGTCAGAAATATGTTTATGATCCTGCTTTTAAGTGGTGCTGTTTCCCATAGGGCATTACTTCGCGCATTTTGGAATGTTTGTTTAAAATGCACACTAGGGGGCTCACCTTAGGCTTCTTTGGAGCTTTCAATCTCACGTTGAGAAACACCTCCTTCAGGTTCCTCTGCCTTTGTCCTGTGGTTAATATTAGAGTATTCATGATAAAACACGTTGAGAAGGGGTAAGCAGTTTACCCCACAATTTAAAGCAAATTTTGAATGAATAACTTTAAGTTAGGTATCTGCCTCCCAGCCCCGCCCCCCCAAAATTCCTCTCAGTAGTTTCTATTAATAATGTACAAAATGATGCGCATTTTTCTATCATGAGGTTCTAACCATTGTTCAGGGTGGTCTTTTGTTTTTAAATCTTTTTTTAACATAAGATTTATGGTGTATATTTTATACAGAAGTGCATTATAAATGTTTTTAATTGTGTCCTGTTTTTTGCAGTCTGTAAGTGCCATTCCAGTTGTTTTTGTATTCTATAGAAGTTCACTCAAAGTACTCAACAGGGGAATAGGCGGTAGACAGTCAGAATGGTTGGAATGTTGGTGTTCTGAGAAAAACTATTTTGCATAAGCATGGGGTCGGATCATTTTGTGCATATGCAGCCAGGATTGGATGTTAAATCAATGCTTGTTCCGTGCCGGTACATTTACTTTATAAATCTGTTTTTATTTTTGTCATGTGGAATACTACTGTGGTCATCATAATGTAATCTGCATTTCTGTACCTTTTTTTTCCTTTGCAGTCTTTAAATAAATGGATAATGCCTATCAAGAGTGGACCATTTTTAATATGTAGTATGTCAGAAATTTGCATAAGAACAAAGATGCATCAAAATTTGTCCAAGAAAAAATTAAAATTTTAGAGTTTGGAATTCTGCTGTACTTAAAGCAGCATTCTAGTAGAACTGATGCTGTAGTATTTACATTTAATAATGTTAGGTTTAGCTGGAGGATCACTTGACCCTAGGAGTTTGAGATCAGCCTGGGCAATGTAGTGAGACCCCATCTCAAAAAACAGAAAAATAAGAAATTAGCCAGGCATGCTGGCAAAGTGCCTATAGTCCCAGCTATTTGGGAGGCTGAGGTGGGAGGATTGCTTGAGCCCAGGAGGTTGTGGTTGCAGTGAGCGGTGATCTCCAGCCCAGGCTGGAGTGCAGTGACACAATCTCAGCTTACTGCAAACTCTGCCTCCTGGGTTCAAGTGATTCTCCTGCCTCAATCTCCTGAGTAGCTGGGATTACAGGCGCACGCCATCACGCCCAGCTAATTCTGTATCTTTAGTAGACGGGGTTTCTTCACGTTGGTCAGTCTGGTCTCAAACTCCTGACTTAAGGTGATCCACCTGCCTCAGCCTCCCTGAAGTGTTGGGATTACAGGCATGAACCACCGCACCTGGCCAGATTTGCTCTTCTTTGCTCTAGGATTTAAGGATCAGTTAAGAACCAGATAGCTGGGCCTGATGGCTGACGTCTGTAATCCCAGCACTTTGGGAGGCCAAAGCATGTGGATTGCTTCCAGGTGTTTGAGACCAACCTTGGTAACAGTGAAACCCCATCTCTACAATTTGCTGGGCGTGGTGTCATATATCTGTAGTCCCAGCTACTCGGGAGGCTGAGGTGGGAGGATTACATCAGCCCTGGAGGATGAGGCTGCAATAAGCACTCCAGTTTGGGTGACAGAGCAGGGCACTTGTCTCAAAAAGTAAAGATAATCTGAATAGTTTATATCCAAAGCCTATTCCAAAATATACTGGAATTTACTGTGCATGATGCTAAATTCTGTTAATAAAAAGAGCCTCTGCCCTTGATGTTAAATGTAGGAAACAGACATACTGAAACGTTCATCTCTATGATAAATAGTCTAGTAACAAAAGCCAAATAAATGCATCAAAATATACATCATCGGCCGGGCGCGGTGGCTCACGCCTGTAATCCCAGCACTTTGGGAGGCCGAGGCGGGTGGATCACGAGGTCAAGAGATCGAGACCATCCTGGTCAACATGGTGAAACCCCGTCTCTACAAAAATACAAAAAAATTAGCTGGGCATGGTGGCGCGTGCCTGTAATCCCAGCTACTCAGGAGGCTGAGGCAGGAGAATTGCCTGAACCCAGGAGGCAGAGGTTGCGGTGAGCCGAGATCGAGCCATTGCACTCCAGCCTGGGTAACAAGAGCGAAACTCCGTCTCAAAAAAAAAAAAAAGTAAAAGAAAAAAACTTTTTGACCCAGTAGATTTTTATTTAAGTAGCCAGATTTTTATTTCTTATGTTGCTCAGGTTGGCCTTGAACTCATAGCCTCACCTCCTCAAGCGCCAGGACAACTGGCTGGAGCCACTGTGGCTCCCAGATTTTTATTTCTTTTATTTTCCTTTTTTTTTTTTTTTTTTTAAGACGGGCTTGCTCTGTTGCCCAGACTGGAGTGCAGTCTCTTGGCTTGCTGCAACCTCCCTCTCCCAGGTTCAAGCGATTCTCATCCCTCAGCCTCCTGAGTAGCTGGGACTACAGACACATGCCACCACATTAGGCTAATTTTGTATTTTTAGTAGATGTGGTGTTTCAACATGTTGGCCAGGCTGGTCTCAAATATCTGAACTCAAGTGATCCACCGCCTCAGCCTCCCGAAGTGTTGGGATTACAGGCATGAGCTCCCACACCCGGCTCAGATTTTTTAATTTAAAGATCATGGGCATGGTGGCTCATGCCTGTAATTCCAGCACTTTGGGAGGCTGAGGCAGGAGGATGACGAGGTTAGGAGTTCGAGACCAGCCTGGCCAGCATAGTGAAACCCTGTCTCTACTAAAAATACAAAAAATTAGCCAGGCATGGTGGTATGCGCCTGTAGTCCTAGCTACTCAGGAGGCTGAGGCAGGAGAATTGCTTGAACCCAGCAGGCAGAGGTTGCCGTGAGCGGAGATTGCACCACTACACTCCAACCTGGGTGACAGAGCAAGATTCCGTCTTAAAAAAAAAAAGATCACGAAAGAATATACATTTATGTACAGTTTGACTCAAGTTTATCCGGTTAGAAAGTATTCATTTTCTTTTTCTTTTTTTTTTTTTGAGACAGAGTCTCTCAATTGCCCAGGCTGGTGTGCTCTTGGATCACTGCAACCTCCGCCTCCCGGATTCAAGCAACTCTCCTGCCTGAGCCTCCCAAGTAGCTGGGATTACGGGTGCGACCCACCATGCCCGGCTAATTTTTTTTTATATTTTTAAGTAGAGATGGGGTTTCACCATGTTGGTCAGGCTGGTCTTGAATCCCTGACCTCGTGATCCGCCCGCCTCAGCGTGCCAAAGTGCTGCGATTACAGGCGTGAGCCACTGCGCCCGGCTGAAAGTATTCGTTTTCTAACGGAAATTTGAATCAGCGTGCTAAAGACTTGGTATCTTCCTAGATTATTTTATGTTTTAAATTTTAATTTATGTATTTATTGAGGGCCTTACAAAGCATGTAGCACTATGCTGAATCTGTAGGATTTGGGAATATGTTATGTTAAAGAATCTTTTATGACATCAGGAATAAATACATTTCAGAAAAGTTGGCTTAAAGTTTTTTTTTAAAGGCCTGTGTGTATGTTATTCCTTTACCTAGAAGATATTTCCCATGATTAAAATAAAAATGAATGTTCTCCCCAATAGTGAGGTCTGGGGGAGTGAGTGGTAAAGGGGCAGGATAGGCCTGGTAGAGGGCAATTTCCCTGGTTCACAGAATGCTGATTCTATCTGCTTCACCACCACCAGGGGCCAGTCTCTTACTATAATGAAGGTCAGAGTTACCAGCACTGTAACCCTCTGGAGGAGCCAGGGTATCCACTGCAGGCCAGTTACCTAGAGGTTCCAGGATTTATCAGTGCTGATCATGTGTATTTTGATTTTACAGAACTATTAAACGTCAATATACCAACCGAGCAGGGTGGCTTACGCCTGTAATCCCAGAACTTTGGGAAGCTAAGGTGGTGGATTACTTGAGGTCAGGAGTTTGAGACCAGCCTGGGTAACATGGTGAAACCCTGTTTCTACAAAAATACAAAAATTAGCCTGGCGTGGTGCCGCATGCCTGTCATCACGGCTGCTCAGGAGGCTGAGGCAGGAGAATCACTTGAACTGGGGAGATGGAGGTTGCAATGAGCCGAGATTGCGCCACTGCACTCCAGCCTGGGAGCAGGAGCGAGAAAAAAAGTCAATATATGCTTTGAATTGTTCTTCAGAAGAAACTCTCCAGAATGTTATCAGGGAAGCTTAAGGTTTTGTAATAGAATTGCTCTGCCTGCTGTAACCATTCTGGATGTTAGAACTTCCATGTAATTAAACACGGATGGGGCCTGTTAAGTGCCAGGCACTGAAGATACATCTAGCAAGAGTCTAATTGTGTCATGTTTCTTCTGTGAAGAATACTTTCAGTCAAAAATAAAACCAGGGCTGATTTTGGTCATTAAGATATGAAGGAGGGGCCGGGCACGGTGGCTCACACCTGTAATCCCAGCACTTTGGGAGGCCGAGGTGGGAAGATCACCTGAGGTTGGGAGTTCAAGACCAGACTGACCAACATGAAGAAACCTCGTCTCTACCAAAATTACAAAATTAGCCAGGCATGGTGGTGCGTGTCTGTAATCCCAGCTACCTGGAAGGCTGAGGCGGAAGAATGGCTTGAACCCAGGAGGCGGAAGTTGCTGGTGAGTCAAGATGGCGCCATTGCACTCCAGCTTGGAAAACAAGAGCAAAACTCGGTTTCAAAAACAAAAATCCACAAAGGAATTTCACTAAAACAAAATCCAGAAAATCCACATTCTTTAGTTCTTGTGAACTTTCTTTTTTTTTTTTTTTTTTTGAAGTGGAGTCTCTTCTGTCACCAGAATGCTGTGGCACGATCTCAGCTTATTGCAAACTCCGCCTCCTGGGTTCAAGCGATTCTCTTGCCTCAGCCTCCGGAATAGCTGGGATTACAGGAGCACACCATCACACCCACCTAATTTTTGTGTTTTTAGTAGAGACGGGGATTCACCATGTTGAGCAGAATAGTCTCGATCTCTTCACCTCATGATCCGCCCTACTTGGCCTCCCAAAGTGCTGGGATTATAGGTGTGAGCCACCGTGCCGGGCCAGTTGTGAACTTTCTATATCAAATATTGCATGGCATTAAAATAGTGTCATTCAGTATGACCTGGCATTCATATGTAAAGAAAAGTTGCTAAAAATAGTATCACTTGCAAATGTAACCCATAGATATTTGCAGACACTCAAATTGTCAATTTGAAATTTTCATGTGAAAAAACATGATTTCAGAAGTGTTTTGACTGGATTGCTTTTTCACAAACACTAAATACTTTTTATTATTATTATTTTTTAATTTTATTTTTAATTTTTTTTAAAGATGGGGTTTCACCATGTTGATCCGGCTGGTCTTGAACTCTTGACCTCAGGTGATACCCCCACCTTGGCCTCCAAAGTGCTTGGATTACAGGCATGAGCCACCATGCCCGGCCTTACACTAAATGCTTTTTGAAAAAAAAAAAAAAAATAGAGATGGGGTCTATGTTGACCAGGAAGGTCTTGAACTCCTGGCCTCAGGTGATCCTCTTACCTCAGACTCTCAAAGTGCTAGAATTACAGGCATGAGCCACCACACCCAGCCCACCAAGCATTTTTGTACAGGAGGTAAATAGTTGAAATCATCTGTCTCCCAAGGAAAGACATTTATCTTCTAATCCTATTGAAAATTAATTTTCGCCAGGCCTGTAATCCCAGCACTTTGGGAGGCCAAGGTGTGTGGATCAC